GACAAAGACGAAAATAGGACAGAGTGACGTCTGTAAATTGGACAAACGGGGATTTGCAAATTTCACTCTCAAGGTATCCTGATAAACAGTTTATACAATATATGATTTTAGAAATACCGTATATCCATATAAGACCATATACACATCCATGGGCGCATGCACAACTTGGCTTCGTGCCACTATATCTAACAGCATGCAAATCCAACATGTAATCATATAACTGAATACTACATCATAATATGAACATGCATGAATACAAAATTATACATGCATCAAAGCGGAAAACATGTACAAAATATATACAAGCCATATACAAAGTAACGGATCAGACATCATGATCCACCAAAATAAATGGAATACTAATGCAAATCACAATCCTCCAAAATAATGGTAGCGAACTGCTATCCAAAAATCCGGTCTACGATGCACTCTATCCACGGTTCGTATCCCTGCCCCGTTTAGGTTCCCCGACAATTTCTGCACCTGAAATGATGTCCCCCAAACGGATATCATAACAGAACAAAATATATATACATATCTTATCATAGGCATATGCAGTCATTCCCAAAGGAGGACACTAAGCGGAAATCAATGCACGTGTTTCCAAGAAAAGACCCCAAGCGAAACCAGAACATATCAAAGGTGTACACAGTCAGTCTCGAGGGAAAACCCCAAGCAGACATCGATGCACAAATAATTAATGGCCAAAGATCAATACAGAAATCACATCAGAACAAATCATATCATGTTATCAAATAGCTCTATATGAATGCATCTATACCAAGCATCAAATACAATCATACAATCCAATCATAGTTCACTAACCATGGTGGAGCACTCAAGCAGGGAAAGACTCTTTAAACATAGAATTTACCTCTTGAAACTTTACCAATTCGCTTACTTGTAGCACAAGTTACTTATATAGCTCTAACAGGATCCAAACCCTCTTAGTTCCTAGGCACACCTAGAGGAGGAATCCAAAACAAAAATCAATAAAAAGATACAATGCCATGAATTTACATAAGACATACATTTTATTTCTTACTTTCATTTATTCACACTTATGCCAAACATATTCCAATTCACAAGTCAAGACCACAATCTTTAAACTCTTTTATTAGACCATTTAATGATGATTACTCACATAACAAGCAACCACCTTGGTTCATATTTACCTAGGGTCCTTGAAGGACCCAACCAAGATTCTAAAATATCTTTTACAATTTTTAACAATTCCTAGCCCCAAAATCATACAATGGCTGAAGCCAATAACAAAGGAAACTAGAGATTTTTATCAATTCTTTTTACACAATCATTAGTTCCTAGAACCCATACTTGACCCCAAGTTACTCATATATTCATATAACAATTTAAGTCTAAACTTTGCTTATTTTTCCTTCACATGGTCGATGTAACACATACAAAGGAGCCAAGATGTCTCTCATTATTTCTTAAACCATTTCACTTCAAATTCATACTAAAGCCATGCATTAGAACCTAAACACATCACCAAAATAATTTTTAACATAATCAAACCCCACATAACCCTATAGGCCAAATTCAAAGGGGAGGGTTTTTCAAAGGATTAGTTTTATACATTCCATTTAATCACTCAATTCACACTTCCAAATACATATAATCCTCCACAAACCAAGCAATTAAATTTTTGCACATACACCCCTACCATCACTACATGGCCGAATTCTAGGGAGGAAGATGCAAGGAAAATTTTCAACATTCCAACTCATAATCATGCTTATTTAACACTATAACATCATAAACCATACTAACTCATCATCAATTTCAAATTTTCAACTCCAATATTTTTCATAACATATGCTCATAATATTCAAAATTTAAATCATGACATTTAAACCATTGAAATAAGGATCTCTTACTCTTACCTCAAATCACCTATACAAGGTTTGGAGAACAAAACCCAAGCTTGGTTCCACCAAAAATCCACTTCGTTCTCTAGGATGAATAGTGACCGAAATCTTGAGAAGGAGAGAGCTCTTCACATAAGCCTTTTTAGCCCAAACAAATAAGTGGAATGGATTCACAATGATCTCTACTTAAAGTTTCATGTGTGGCACTTTGTGTTTTGGTGATTAGATGAGTGAGAAAGAGAGGAGAGAGAAAGAAAACTCATTCCCCCCATTACCATGGCTGTTGCGGGTTCAAGGAGAGGAAGGAGAGAGAAGAAGCTGAAAATGAAGGTGAATAGTGTCCACTTAAGCTTATATGGACCAATAGTCTTTTAACGAGTGTTTTTCTCTCGCTTAATTTAACTTAAAATGACCCCGGAGTAACTTAAAGCTATGGACATATTTTTTATTTTTCTGAACTCATTTACATTAACTTTTATTCCCTGTAGAACAATATTAATAATTCACAGTATGATTTCGTCACCGTTTTTGACGAAATGCACTGTGAATCACAAATTGTGCACCGTTTGCATACGAAAACTTAAAACTTATAAACTTATCATTTTTGGGTCTATTATGACTTGTTTGACATATATTGTACTTTCTTATTCGTATTTCATCAATTATTTAGTTCTGGACTCTACCAGTTGCTTAAACAACAGTACAAAATACCCGACAGAAACACTATTCGCGAGATTTTCACGGAAAGCGCCAGACTCTACAATTTTTTGTTCTGAACTCATATTTGGCATCAGAATTTTCAAATTAGGTCTCTAAACTCATTTTGTTCATTTTAAACTCCACCGGTTGCTACACAGTAATGCAAAATATCCAGTATAAAGCATTGTTCATGACCTAGTCATGATTACAGTCAAAATGCTCGAAATCACGCTCTGAATCTAATTATGATATTTAAATCCATAATTTAAATCTCTAATTAAGATTTACCTAATAGGGTCATTATAGAAATAAATATAACCGTTGGATCAACATAATTGATCTAACGATGAAATTGATTGGTAGTAATATTGGTAATAGTACTAATTGGTTGTTACAATATCTTATTTAAAAGAAAAAAAAAATTCCATAATCCCGTTCCTATTTCTCCTTCTCTCTCCTCTCTCCTCTATTTTTCTCTTACTCTTTCTTTTCCTTGCCCACATGTGCCGGATGCTGACTCCTTTAAGAGAAGAAATTATGTGTTTCATTCTTCTTAAGATGAAGAGATGATATGTACCTCTAGCGAGATATTAGAGAAGAATTCTTATAATCTCATTGTTCTTATATTGGAAATTTTGTTGGACTAATGTCGTGTGATTTTTACTCCTTTGGGTTAGGAGAATTTTCAATTTTAAAAGTTGGTGTGTTTTATTTCCTTTTCTGCGTAATGCGATGACTTGCTGACAAAAAGATCTTCAAGTGTTGAACTAATATACTCGACTTGACGAACTATTCGCTTCCACGCTGATAAAACGACCGTACCAACACCTTTAGTTTTGAGATTGAAACTGGTGTAACGATTATGTATGTAACACTTATTTTTCTTTTTTCCCTTACGTTTTTTGAGTCCCAACTACCAAATAATTGGAGAAACAATTCAGTATTTGAGCCACAAAAAACCATGCAAAAGTGCAATCTAGTTGAAGGTTTTTACTTTTTAACTTCTATGTATACTTAAAACTTATTCAGCAAAATAAAAAAAATAAAAAAAAGAGGTATACTTGAGAATTCATTTATTGCATGGCGTTAGTGGGTGGGTCTGTCATACTGTGGGGTGGTGGCTAATTTTTGCTGGCATTTGGTATATCTCACTAATTCTTTTCAACAAAAACTCCTCCTATTTGGCTGCCAAACTTCAACACCACTTGGAACATAAACTATGTTGCTTTCCTATGCGATTACACAAAGTTCTTTTTGTCATAAGAAAAAAACCACAAGTTGAACCACCCTCCTCACCAAGAAAACGGTTTCCAACCATTATATGCAAACGTGTCACACTTTTAACCATTTAAAATTAGATGTTACTTTTTTTTTTTGTTTATAAGATCCCTATACATAAACATTTGTATAACATTATTTTGCATAAAATAGTACATAATATGTTCCCATATTCTCAATTCAACTATATATAGAATGAAACAACGATTCACTTGATCAAATGTAATGAGGGAGGCTGAACCACGCTGGAGAAGCAGGGCACATGCTTGATTTATCCAAGTTCTTAGCATGTGCTTTGTCTCTCCATCATGGATTCTTTCTCTTAAGTCTATAATATTGGCAATGTGGTTATATATAAATCAATTTGTCATCTACATGGTAAGTTCTTCTAATTGATTGCTATGCGTGCATGTATTAAGATTCCCATTAGAAACCAAATATTGTCACTGTCTCCACTAGCTCCAATTAGAAAATTCATATAATAGCTGGCTTTTCTTTATTGTGATTATAAGGCAAATTGAAATTTAACTTCAATTTGGTCTTTTTTTCTTTGAAAGAGAAGGAGAGAGTAAATTGCAATGCACCTTTCCAGGTCTCAAAAGGTTGGCTGGCATTAAACTTGATTGTTGTTTCCTTTAATTTCAAGTGCCAAAATTGTATCATTTGTTTTCTATTGTATTCTGGCAATGCAATTGAATCTTTTTCAGTTACAGTGCAGAGAAAAAGATTATGGAATCACTCTTTCTGTCCTCTTTCTTCATATGTTTGCCATGACACTATACTTTTTGCATTCTTTAATTGTTGATAATCCAAAAAAAAAAGAAAAAAAATCTCCAACTCTTTAGTGTAATGCTAGGCACACACTTCACAATCACATCACTTCCCATTATGAAATTTACTTAATCAAGTCGCACATGATACATCAGTTGTTTATTTGAAAAAAAGAGAGATAGCTGATCCAAAATCTAGTATTGAATATTATTGTATAATCCACACTTCAAAACAGACCTAACAAATTGAAGTGGGTTTCTTTTTTTCCCTCTATCTTTATCCAATTGACTTTGGCCAATGTGTCATTTTGTTGTGTAAGGATTGCTATGTTCATAATAATATTACAAGTTCATATTATTAGGATCAAGCAAAGACATTGGCTTCGGTCTCAGCTCGAACTAGGCTAGTATACAAACCATTTTGAAGGATGAGAGTGTCATGGCTCCCATACTCCACCACTTCCCCATTTCTCATAACTGCTATCTTTTCAGCTTCTCTAATTGTGGAAAGACGGTGAGCAACTATTATGGTTGTTGCCTCTTTTGAAACATTCTTAAAGGCATTTTGGATGTGCTTCTCTGATTCCAAGTCCAAGGCACTGCTTGCTTCATCAAGCAGAAGCACCCTTGATTTCTTCAATATGGCCCTTGCTATAGCAATTCTTTGTTTCTGGCCACCTGATAACTGGACCCCGCTTTCACCAACCTAGTGTACAGTAGCAAATGAGAAAATAAATCATATGTTTTACTTATAGAAGAGTGCTTAAAAAGTCATGTTAAAAGTGATGCAGCATAATTGAGTTATGATTTAGAGTAGTGCTACTAATACAATAAACATTTTGGGTAAAAAATTGATGTAGTATATAGTTATGGTTTAGCTCTACCTCTCTATAGAATTATTTTATTTTTACATTATTCTTGTTTGTGTTCTTTTAGGTGATTTACATGACCGGTCAGACTTTGTGTAAATTTGAAAAGTTGCTTTTTTTTCTCTCTCGCCAGTCACATCGCTGACGTGTAAAGTAAAAAAAAAAATCAATTTTTCAGATTTACATAGTATAACCGATCAGACTTTGTGTAAATCACTAAAAGGACACAACTTATATCCTTTAAAAGGACACACAGTGAACCCGATTGGTAATTAGGTGGGTTCTTCACAGGTATATAGAAAACAGGATTATGGAAGGATCAATCCTGTACAGAAAAGTTGGTGTAAAAAGTGATGCAGCATGAAATGGTTATAATTTAGAGTAAACTACAATCAGGCAAACAAAAAACAAAAAACCAACCATAGAGGATGTCAAAATTCCATATGTGTTAAAAGTAATTTTTGGGGGGAAGTATTGAGAGTCTATTAACATACCTGGGTTTCATAACCCTGAGGAAGGCCACTGATGAACTTGTGCATGTAAGCCTCCACTGCAGCAGCTTCAATTTCAGCCCATGAAGCATTTGGGTCCCCAAATGCAATATTATCCCTTATGCTCCCAGCAAACAATGCAGGTTCTTGACCCACCAAAGCTACTTGCCTCCTTAACCATTTCACATCAATCTCCCTCAAATCTATCCCACTCATCATCACCTTTCCTTGATCTGGATCATAGAACCTCTGTGTCAGCCATATGACAGTTGATTTTCCTGATCCACTTGGCCCCACCAAGGCCACTGTGCTTCCACCTTTGACCTTCAAACAGAAATCTCTCAACACAGTCACCCCAGGCCTAGAAGGGTATGCAAATGTCACCATTTTGAATTCTATTCTGAACGGTTTTGATCTATCTACTTTCTTATTTTTTGTTCCGTCCTTGGCTATTAGTGGCTTACGATTTATGATATCTTGAACTCCAGGAATTGCTGTGGCAGCCATGGAAGTATCTGGTGCTAAACCAGCTAGTTGTCCCACAGAAAATGAGCTCAAAACAAGAATGAGAAAAATCTTAAACACCTGCACAAATTTTGCTTTGTCATGTTCTACTAGGTAGGAACCAAACCAAAGAGTCAAGGTGTAAGCTCCATACATGGCTCCTTGAAAGAAACCAAATGTAAAACCTTGAATTTGTGAACTTTTTAATGATTTTTTCCTAGGTTCTGATAGGGCTCTATCAAAGGACTTGACTATCTGTTCCTGTGCTGAAAATGTAGCCACTGTCCTTATGTTTGACACTGCACCAGAAGCAATATTGCTAGCTCTGGCATAAGAGTCGTTATCAATTCGTGGCCCAACGTTTATGATCAAGTTTATGTAGCTAGCACCAAGAGCAAAAGGAGTTATAGCTGCTGCTAAAAGGGTTAGTCTCCAATTAAAGTAAAATGAAGCACCAAGGCCAACAGCAGCTGAACTCAACCCCATAAGAAGGACTGAGAATCTGTCACCAAGCACTGAACGAAAGCTCACACAGTCTATTGAGAGTCTTGAAACCAATACACCAGTGGAGTTTTCGTCAAAATCAAACCAACCGGGTTCTTGTTTCAGTATGGATTGAAACAATAGGTCTCTAACCCTCAGTGTCAGCTTTGATCCAGCCCAGCCACAAAAACCTTGCTGTCCTGTCATGGAAAGTATACAACCAAATCCAAGTCCAACAAGTGCGAAACAAAGGTACCCGATTTCTCTTTTCATCTTTTCAGTGTCATTTTCAAAATATACTCCAAGGGATATGCCTAAAGCCAATGGAAAAAGGGACAGAAAAGCACCTGCAAACATTCCCAGAAGAAATCCTGAAAATAGCATCACAATATCTGGCTTTGCCAATTTCCATACCTCAGAAAGTCTGAATTTTCTTGGCTTTTTGCTTTGCTTATCTTCCACCTCTTCTTGTTTTTCCTCCTGCGTAGTCTTTAAGTTTTTAGACCTTGAGATATCAACTTCATATCTTGATCTTGATACATCAGGAACAGATTTGTCATAGATGGATAAATCATTGTCTTTTTGCATGCCATTTTCTTTAGAGAGTGATTTTGAACCCGCTTCGGTTGCAAGCTTGACAAGGTTGTAGTATGTTCCAGCTTTCCCCATAAGCTGGCGATGGTCACCAATCTCAGTGACAGTACCTTGTTCAAGAACCACAATGGCATGAGCGTTCCTCACTGTTGCTATCCTATGAGCAATGACAATGGTTGTTCTTCCTGCAGAAATCTTGTCAATGGCCTTTTGGACTGCAGATTCTGACTCAGCATCAAGAGCACTAGTAGGTTCATCTAAAATAAGGATTTTAGGTTCTTTGATCATTGCTCTAGCCAATGCAATTCGCTGCTTTTGACCTCCTGAGAGTTTTGTACCCCTATCTCCAGCCTGCATAAAAAATGGTCCTATCTAGCTAAGTTTGTTTATCTTGTATATGCTCTTTTTATGATACATACACACACACACACACACACACACACACACTATTACCTGTCAATTGTAAAACTAGTTTGCAACCTTAGTTTTGTTGAATATATTAATCTAGAAAAGGAGAAATATCTTTGTCGTTAGTTACTGCACCTGAGTGTCATAGCCTAGTGGTAGGTTAGAGATGAAGTTGTGAGCATCAGCAGCAATGCAAGCAGCAATTGCATCTTCCTTGGTGGCATTATCTTTCCCCATCATCACATTTTCTAGTATAGATGTGGCAAAGAGAATTGGCTCCTGACCAACCATCCCAATCTGATCTCTTAGCCATTTTACTTGCAGTGTCCTCAAGTCATGACCGTCCAAGGTAACAATCCCTGCAAAGATTTTAAAACTCAACATAGTTAGGAGTAATAATTTAATTTTTTACTCAGCTTTTTGAAGATCTATTGCCATCATCATATTGTTATTTTAATATATGCTTGCTTACCTTCAACAGGGTCATAAAATCTTTCTATGAGAGCAAAGATAGTGGACTTGCCCCCTCCACTGGCACCAACCAATGCCAAAGTTTTTGAAGATGGAAATACCAAACTAAGGGAATTAAGTATCATAGAATCAGGACGAGATGGGTATGCAAATCTAACGTTTTTTAACTCAATCCTTCCACGAACAGTGGAAAGCTTCCTGCCCTCAGGGCTATAGGGATCAATCTCAGGGATTCTCTCTATAACATAGAATACACGGCTTGCTGCAACAGTACCTTGTGCAAATTGTGCAAAATATGAAAGTGCCAGTGCCAAGCCTCTGTCAATTAAAAAATAAACAAACTTTTGAGAACAAAGTTAGACAACAAAAACAAAAAAGTTCATGTAGTCTTTAATAGCTACTTAAAGAATCATTCTTAACCAAACACCATTGGCACAAATGGTAAGGAACTTGTATCCCTTGACTAGTGATCTCGTGTTGGAGCTCTAGGAATAGAAAAAATGATCTTGGAAGAGTCGCTCCCTCTATAGGGTCCAACAGTACTCGAACCGGACTAGTCCGAAGAATGAACTGGTTAAGAAGACTCAGAAAGAATCATTCTTATAGTTAAAAATATTTTATTCTTCCAAATCAAACATAGTCAAATAAGTTAAAAGATTGTAGAAACCAAACCTTCCCCCTACATTGACAGCAAAGAAACAAGCAATAGCTGCACCTCCATTAAGTTGATTCTTGGAAATTAAGATAGAGCCATACCAGAAAGCCAAGGCCCATGTTGAATAAGTTACTAAATATATAACACCCATGCCTGCACCCTTAGCAAAACCAATTTTTGCCCCAATTGGGGATGATTTTTGAAGTAATTCAGCATATTTTGTAGCCAATTGACTTTCTGCAACAAAAGAAAACACTGTCCTAATTGAACTGATTGCCTGCTCCGCAACTTTACCAGCACTCCTATAAGAAGCCTTTAGCCAAAATGCATAAAAAATAAATAAATAAATAATAGAATGAAAAGATATAACATCAAATTTAATAAATGATACTTAAAGTATGTACATTTATCTTACTTCCTCTTTTGATGCTAGACCACCATAAAGTGCTTTATAAGCCATACCACAGAACATTGTCAATGGGGTAACTGAGAATACCACCAGAGAAATTTTCCATGATCTTTTAAACCCAACTGCATACCCACATATGAATGTAAATAGATGATGAATGAAGTGGGCCATCTGCAGTGTCACAAACAACAAATGAATAAAAACACATTTAAGGATTAGTATCAACCAAATTTTGATTGAATTGTATAGATTTATTTAAAAATTCAGATATATTATAGAGATCTATATGATGATAAAGAACACAATTCTACAGGTCTTCATAGTTCATTTGAGTTTTCAAATAAATACGTATAATAGTTTAGTAATAGTTATTGGAGTCTTCACGTTATTGGCAAATTGGTACTTATTTGAAAAATTTTAGAAGTTTAAGGATTTAATCATAAACTTTTAAATTATAGAATAATATTTAAAATATCTGTGAAACTTTAAAGACTTATATAGAGTAAGTTAACCCTATTTTCAATTTAAAATTGTATTTTTTATTAATATTAGTAATACAAAAGTTATCCTTTTGAAATTATTTTTCATTAATAGAAATGAACTTTGTTGGGTATGGCTCATACTTCACATGATGATGTTGGCCCTAATTGTCGGGGTCAGCAGAAAGGCCCGTAGAGGCTAGGTAATGTTTAGGCCTCTGTTTCTATTGTAATTTTCTTAGCAGTTTGGGCTTGGGCCCATGAATAGCTGCTGTTAGGGTTTCTTGTAATCCTATTTATATTTGCCTTGTAAACTGAGAGACTTGTAACGAGTGGCGGTGAGGTGAATATAGTACAGACAAGCTGGACGTAGCCTATATTGGGTGAACCAGGGTAAATCATCGTGTCAATCTCTCTACTCTTATCTCTTTTTCTGTTTTCTCGATTCTGTGTGATTGTCGATTTCCAACAATTGGTATCAAGAGCTTTGGTTCTGCGACCAGGGTTCCTGTGACAGATTGGGGTTTCGCGATTTAGGGTTTTTTCTTGGCATAGATAAAACTGCGAAATTGATCTGGAGAGGATGTCGACTGGCCAATCACGGGTCGAGGTTGAAAAGTTCGGAGGAAAAGGGTTCGAGTTATGGAAGCTGAAGACGGAGGCTCTGCTCGTTGACAGGGACGTGTGGTACGTGATCGAAGATGATAAGCCATCCGTACCAACAAAACCTGTCGGTGAAGAAACGTCAGGTGATGGCGAGTCGAAGGAGTTGAAGGCGTGGACCAGAGACGATCGAAAGGCGCGAAGCCTGATCTGGTTATGCCTGGCTGATAACGTTCTGGTGAACGTAACTTCTGAGAAGACCGCGAAGGATCTCTGGACGAAGCAGGGAAGTCTCTATCAGAGCAAGTCACTCGTGAACAAGCTGTTCCTGCGAAGGAGGCTGTATAATCTGCGGATGAGCGAAGGTGATTCTTTCTCTGCTCATTTAAATGAATTTAATACTATTTGTGCACAACTTTCGTCTATAGACATTAACCTGGACGAGGAAGACAAAGCTTGCACCTTGTTGTGTTCACTGCCCAACTCTTGGGAGCACATCATTGTGTCAATTGGTACTAGTGTTAATAAACTGTCGTTTGAGACGGTTGTTGCTGCCTTATTGTCTGAGGAGATGAGAAGGGTAGGTTCTGAAGGTACCAACAATGAGGCTCTGGTTGCTAGAGGGAGGAGTGATGACAAATCAAAGTCTGGTCACAGAGGAAGATCGAGGGGACGATCAAAGTCCCGTGATAAATCTGATAAATCTGAAATGAGGTGCTGGAGGTGCAAAAAGGTTGGACATCTGAGAAGGAATTGCAGAAGTAAAAGTGTAGGTCCTGAGAAGCGGGATGATTCACAACCGTCTGCTTCGGGTACAAAGAAGGATGATGATGATAGTACAGGGGACCTGTACATGGCGTTTGACAGTCATAATGACTGTAATGATTGGATTATTGACACTGGAGCATCGTTTCATATGACACCTCATAGGGAGTGGTTCTGCACCTATGAATCGTATTCTGGCGGTACAGTTAGAATGGGAGATGACACGACTCATGCAATTGTGGGGCGTGGGAAGGTAAAGCTGAAGATGAGTGACGGGACAGTCAAGAATCTGCCGGGTGTGATGCATATTCCGGGGCTTACCAGAAATCTGATCTCCGTTGGTAGTATGACAGATGCTGGTATTAATTTTAGCAGTGACAAGTATTCTTGCAAGCTGACTCGAGGAGCTTTGGTTATTGCAAGAGGAGAGCGTCATGGTAAATTGTGGAAACTGCTGGGTAGCACAGTATTCAGTGGTGAAAGCTATGTTTCAGAACAGGCGGAGGAGGACACTGCTATGTTATGGCATAGGAGGCTGGGGCATATTGGAGGAAAAGGTCTGGAGACTCTAACATCAAAGAAGTTGGTGGATGGAATTCCGAGCTGCTCTATGGGGTTTGGATTTTGCGAGCATTGCCTGCAAGGGAAGCAAAATCGGATATCTTTTGATTCCATAGGAGGAAGAGCTGAGGGGGTTCTGGACTTGATACACAGCGACGTGTTTGGCCCCACACCTGTAGCATCACATGGAAAATCAAGGTATTATGTTTCTTTTACTGATGATTTTTCAAGATATGTGTGGTTATATTTCTTGCGCAGCAAGGATGAAGTGTTCGATAAATTCTGCGAGTTCAAGGCTTTGGTGGAAAATCAATTTGATCAAAAAATCAAGGTGCTGAGAACTGACAATGGAGGGGAGTTCTGTTCAACAAAATTTGACCAGTTTTGTGCGAGCAATGGGATTGTAAGACAGAAGACTACGCCCTACTCACCTCAACAGAATGGGGTGGCAGAGAGGTTGAATCGATCTCTCATGGAGAAAGCACGGAGTATGCTGAGCGGTGCAGGCTTGGCAACTGAGTTTTGGGCAGAGGCAGTGGCTACTGCTTGTTATCTGAAGAACAGATCCCCTACATCAGCTTTGAAGGAGAAGACTCCGTATGAAGCACTGTTTAAAAAAAGGCCAGACGTATCTCATATCAGAGTGTTTGGCTGTGAAGCTTATATGCACGTACCCAAGGAGAAAAGAAACAAGCTTGACAGTAAATCTGAAAAGTGTATCTTTATTGGGTACAAGGATGGCGTCAAAGGTTATAAGTTGTGGAATCCGGATACTTGAAGTGTAACTTACAGCAGAGACGTTGTATTCAGAGAATCTAAGTTGAATCAGATTTTTCCTGAAGCTCCTGAAAAGTCACAGACGGTGGAGTTGGATGTGGGTTTGAAAGAGGATACAATAAACTCACAGATTGAATTGGAAAATTTGAATTCTGAAGCTGCTGAATATAATGAGGTAGAGGATGAATTTTCTGAAACTGAGGCTAAGGTTGAAGCACCAGTGCTGAGGAGATCCACGAGGGAAAGAAGACCATCTGAGAGGTATACACCTGAAAATTATATCCTGTGTGCTAGTGATGATGTTTGTGCATTTAGTATTACAGGTGATGATCCGAGCACTGTAAAACATGCGAGGAGCTCGGAGGATGCCAAACAGTGGGAGGAAGCTATGAAAGAAGAGATGAAGTCTCTGATGAAAAACCAAACTTGGAGTTTGGTGAATCTACCTGCAGACCGAAAAGCAATTGGTTGCAAGTGGGTGTTCAAGAAGAAGGTTGGTGCCAATGGGGAGATTGAACGCTACAAGGCTCGATTGGTTGCAAAGGGATATTCACAGACAGAAGGGGTTGATTATGGTGAGGTATTTTCACCTGTTGCAAAGTTAAATTCCATAAGACTGGTTTTGTCTGTAGCAGCTGCATATGACCTAGAGGTGGAACAGCTGGATGTGAAGACAGCTTTTCTTCATGGTGATTTGGAGGAGGTTATTTTCATGAAGCAACCAGAGGGGTTCATTGCAAGAGGCAAAGAGGAGCTAGTCTGCAAGCTGAATAAATCTCTGTATGGCCTGAAGCAGTCCCCAAGGATGTGGTACATGAAGTTCGACACTTATGTGCTGAAGCTTGGCTTTGACCGTTGTGATGCTGATCACTGTGTTTATGTGAAAAGGTTAGAAGGTGACTTTGTTATTCTAACTTTGTATGTTGACGACATGTTACTCGTTGGAAACAGTTTGAAAATGATCAGCACTGTTAAAGGACTGCTAGCAAAGCAGTTTGAAATGAAAGATCTAGGCGCTGCAAATGTGATCTTGGGTATGCAGATTAAGAGGGAGCGTGACAAACGAAGATTATGGTTAAGTCAGCAGAAGTACATAGAAGATGTTCTGAAGAAATTCAAGATGACTGACTGCAAGCCTGTGTTGACTCCCATGTCTACTGGTTCTAAGTTATCGGTTGACCAGTGTCCCAAGACTGAAGAAGAAAAAGAAGAGATGGCGTCAGTTCCTTATGCTAGTGCAGTAGGGAGTCTGATGTATGCCATGATTTGTACTCGACCTGATATTGCTCAAGCAGTGGGAGTATTGAGCAGGTATATGTCCAAGCCAGGAAATGAGCATTGGACGGCTGTGAAGCGTGTGTTCCGCTATCTTCGTGGTACGTCTGACCTTGGGTTATGCTATGAAGGCGTGAAGGGCTCAAGGGGACAGACATTGTTAGAGCTGAGATGCTTTGTGGATGCTGATTGGGGAGGTGACATTGATAGTAGAAGATCTACAAGTGGATATGTTGTTTCTTCATTTGGCGGAGCTATCAGTTGGATGAGTAAGAGGCAGAGCACTGTTGCTTTATCTTCTACAGAGGCTGAGTACATGGCCTTGACACATGCTGTTAAGGAAGCTATTTGGTTACGGAGGTTGTGCAAAGAGCTTGGCTTTGCACAAGGAGAGATGATCGTTGGGTGTGACAGTCAGAGCGCCATTTTCTTGGCTAAGAACCCAGGTTTCCATGCGAGGACCAAGCATATCGGCATACAGTACCACTTCATCAGAGAGAAGATTGAAGACAAGGTTGTATTGCTGGAGAAGGTTGACATAAAGGTCAACAATGCTGATTTTCTGACCAAGGCAGTGACTTCGGAGAAGTTTGAATGGTGTACAGATGCATTGGGATTGAAGAAACATGTGAAGCATTCACCAAGTGGGAGAATGTTGGGTATGGCTCATACTTCACATGATGATGTTGGCCCTAATTGTCGGGGTCAGCAGAAAGGCAACTGTTAGTATATATATACTATGTTCTTTTGGTTTTCAGGAAATAAAAGAAATGTTGATAAAAATGTCTTGAAAATATGATATGATTAAATGAATGGCAAATAATACCGTTTGTTAATGGACTTAATCTACATCTATATAATAAAATTGAATCATTGAGACCATGAGAATCCCTTATTTTTTTAATTTTTTTTTTTTAAATTTACGTTAATTATTTTTCGTTTTGAAATCCGAATTTCTTATTTAAATTAATTCATTTAAATTTTTCATTAATTATTTTCTCTCAAATCTAAATTACTTCATTCTTATTTATTAAATTGGATTATACTATATTGAGAGTGACTAATCTTTTGGTCTACTCTCATTTAAAGAATAACAAGTGTCATATTTTAAATTTCGGATTCAAATTCTTTTAAATTAGTTATCTATACTTTATATTTTATTTTTATTTTTTGAATTAATTATGCATTATTTTTTTATAATTTTAAATAATTTTTTTAAAAAATTATACTTTTTAAGTTTTGGTCATTCTCTTTTAAATTTCATCTTAAAAGTTCCATTTTCAATATCAGTCATCTGAATTTGACAGCTTAACTAATCAATTTAGCAAATAGGAAATTTAACATTCAATTCAAATAGACAAGCTCCCGTCTACCAAAATAAAAAATAAAAAAATAAAATAGACAAGCTCCCAAAAAGTGAACTATTATTTCAATTAAGTCCCAAGTATTATCATTGGTTTCGGGTAATGTAATCAAATTGAAAAAGAACTCTCATAAACCAAAGTTCAATTAGGAGTAACATTGTGATGTTTAAGACTTTTAAGTAGATAATAAAAATTCCATGGTATGCTCCAGATCAACAGATAAAAGATTTTGTAAATTATATTAAGGGTTTATTGTTTCTCATGTTGTAGGAAATAAATTTATGTCCTATGCATATATAAAAATGTGTGGAAGAAGAGAGAGAAAGAAAAAACATGGCATTATATACTTTTATGTGTATGTTGAATTATTAATTTATCTTCTATAACCTGAGAAACATTAAACCCTTATATTAATGTGGTGTAGCTATTAAGTGATTTATCAGCGGAATTAGAGAAATAAGAACACTAACCTTCTCTCCCATAACTTCTTGAATTTGTGCAACATCACTAGCAATTCCATGCATAATATCACCAGTGTTGATATCTGTATCAAAAAAACTAATGTCCTGTCGAAGAATTGCTCTTAGGTACTCAGTTCTTATTCTTTGAGCAGATCTTTCCCCCACTAACCTCCAACATGTGATCTCTGCCAATTTTTGTGATCAGTAAATTATTGTTACACTTCTCAAATATAAGTCAAAAGTTCTAGCCAATGCATTGAAAGTTATAAAGAAAAAAAAAATGTGAAAAAGCAAATAAGACTAAAAAGTCTTAATCTACTTACCCAAATATGCTCCAACTACCACAACTGCAGCTAACCCGGTCATATATAAGCATATCTGAAAATTACAATTGGGAAGAGGAAAAGACTATGAAAATATGCTCAAACTCCACTTAATGTGCAAACATTTAACTTAGTATAAAGGGAAGAAAAAAAAAAAAAAAAACAAGGAAGAAGAATTAGTAGTACCTTATTAACATCCTTCATCATTTGGGTATTGTCATTGACTGCTCCTGCTGAAAGCTTGTTGACCAAGTCACCAAAAAGATAAGAATAAAAAGGAAGTGACCCTCCATTTATGAGAGCCCCTAAACATCCCACAAACACAAGCACCCAATCCCACTTTGTTGAGTACCTAAACAAGCTGAACAGCCCAACTGTTTTTGGAGGCACTGCATCTTCCTCATCCATAATATCCTCCTCCTCTTCTTCATCATATCCTGAAACCTTTTCAGTGTCATGGTGACTATAACCACCACCACCACCAATTCCATAAATTTGACTACCATGTGATGTTAGTCCATAACCACTATGATCATGTCTAATATATGATAGTTCAAGATCAAGAACATCCTTACTAACACTGTGTTCATCTGTTATGCTATAATCTTTCATACTAAGCTCATCTTCCTCAGCCAATGGACTACTCCTACCTTTTCCACCACTCCTCTCTTTGATGATCCCCAACTTTGAGAACCCTTGACTATGATCAATGTCCCTAGCAACATAGCTCTGAAGCTCAACTCTTCCATAACCAGAATGTTCATAAGATGAATTTGTTATGCCTCTAACCCCACCACCTGTTCTTGAAAGGTAATAGTCATTTGCTGATTGATGAAATACACGACTGTGTTCAGTGCTGGCTGGCCATGGACTCATAACAGAACTAAAGTTTGTGCTATACTCACGCAACCCTTTTGCCCCAAACTTCCATGAAACCTCTTCTTGCCATGAACGGTCATCATCTGAAGCAAATGGTGTGGTAGGAATTCTGTTGCGGCGAGCTCTTCTGCTTCTAGAAGTAGCACTGCTTCGAGAGCTTGATGGTATGAAAGAGTTTGAGCCAGACACACTACTGCGAAAACTCACTGGTGTTGGATAGTGTTTTTTCTGGTGGCTTGAGGGGTAGAAGTCAGCTTCAAAGGAAGAATCAGCCATGGCTAGCTAGATAGCTGCCAGTTATAATTTGGTGTTTGATGTTTGATGAGAAGAACCAGTAAAGGAAGGAATGAAATGGAGGAAGGGAAAGCAAACTAAGTGTTCAACTTTGTTATGTGTTGTCCATAGCGATTGGTCCAATGTTTCAAACAACTTTGCTCCTTCCGTCTGTGTTTTCTGTCATAGGCAGAGACAAGATATTGAACATAACACCAACACATAAAAAGGGTCTCATTGCCTCATATAACTGCATTTACTTTGTAGATAAGAGGGTATAATTTATTGGTTTCTTTGGGAATATATTTAGCCTAATATTGTTGTGCATGGACGGCATGCAAGTCTAAGTGGCCGGCCAAGGATGATTATTATAAATATTTCTAAAAAATAATAAAGTTTATTTTTTACAAGGAATTTAGTTATTGGCCTTTTTTTTGAGTCTGTACTTTGCTGATGTATTGGGCAAATTAAAGGTTCAGAATGATTAATAATAAGTAGTTCTATTTATATGTTAACTTCTTTTATTAATCCAAACCCCTTAGCAGTTCTTATTTGGAGGATAATGTTGGGATTGAAGTGACTTATGTGGGTGTTTATTGTGTCAAGTCAACCTTTCTCTCTACTAATCTGAACAAAAAACTAACATGGTAGTCTATACATTTGTCATGTAGACATGATCTCGGGAATGGATTTCTCGCAAGCAAGGCTGCAAGGGTATTATTGTCTTGATCTGAGTTCATTATATATTAATATTATTTCCCTCCTTGACTAGGTATGTTGTGTCATGTAATTAAAAAGTGAAAAACATAAGGAGTTTTGAAAGGAACATTTCAGGAGAAAATGAAAAGGAATAAACAAACATTAACCATTTATATAAGAAGTCATTTTTATACCGGAACTTACAAAGGGATAATGTTCTTCTCAAGGTTAAAGGACAGTAAGTTATATCGAAAATTTCATACCATTCCTGCAAATTTGAAGGGTGAAACTTAACTTTGTATGAAATGTAAGGTTCAGAGAGGAATCTATCAGACAGCAGGGTCTTACACAAAGTACATTGATTTGTTCCATAATTAACATTGTGGAACGTTTAATCCAAGAAAAGTACCAAGTACATTTTGTTTTGCTGCATAATTAAAAGTGTAGTACGTTTAATCCAAGAAAATCAAATAATCAAATCAATATCATCATGTTGATTTTGTTGTTTATTGACCGAATTGCTTCCTAGAAGAGATCAAATAATAAAATATTGTGTTGGCTAACGTTGTTCCTTTTCTTTTTTCAGGTAAACAATGTTGCTCCAACTTTAGACTGAAACATCCGGCTGTCGTGTGCTTCTTGCGTTTCTTATGAGCCATAATCATCCACATCTTTTTCATGGTTAAGGGTATTAAATGAACCACCGAAATAGTAAGATATACTAATCTTTTCATAGATTTAATAATTGACCACACCATAAATTTAGCTTTTAAAGAGGGATGACAAATTTTAGAACCTGAAGCCTCGTGCATCTTTGCAGAATAATCTGGTTTATATAGAGCATGATTCTATTCATACATACATACACTGTCACCAAACTGATATTAAATAGAAACTATATATCTTTGTGGAGGTCAACTGTACTTGTCTTAGTTATCATATAACTAGAATGATATGTAAAAAAAATATGTGCCAGTGGCAGTGATCTGATATCTATGCTGTTTCCTACCAACCAAAATGTATTTTCACCATCCCTCCCATCATAATATCATGTCATAATGTTATTTAGACATTTTTTAATGTGCATGGACGTATAGGTAACCCAATAAGACTAACAGGAAAAAATTGTAAGTGGGAGAAACCTGAACAAAAAAATGTAAGATTGAGCTGAACAGTGAATAGATAGAAATTCAACAAGTAAATATTACTCTATCTAATGCACGAACATCCAAATTAAAACTGGTTCAAGATTCTGGGCCAAAACAAAAGGGTGGGAGGAGAAAAAAAAAAAAACTGATGTAAGCATCCCAAAATGAATTTAATAGAATTCGATTAGAGTTCTCCCTTGTTCATTACTGTTATCGGACAGTTCCATGTTCACAAGACTGAAATCTTTTGAGTAATAAACAAAGCATGCAACATTATAAGGTAACAAGGATCCACAGCTAAAGCATATTTACTGTGTGACAATTTACTAGTAGTTGAAAATGTGCTACTAACATGAAAATGAACATTGATAGCTGAGATTATACAGCTAAGAGTACAGTGATGTGTCCTTCAGCAAAGAGTAACACTAGAGTAAAGTCGCAAGAGATAAGAAGTCAATAATTCTTATTCGTTCTTTTAGGGGGGAGAGGGAAATAATCCTTTGAAAACTATTATTTTACTCCGCAATCACATTACTCTTCTTAAGTCTGACTATACTGATTCATTCTAGCAGGAGTTCAACTCTGATATACATTACACAAGTAAATCAAAATAAACGGGTAAAAGAATGCCGCTACTGCCAAAATTACATTGCACCATTAGGCGACTCTTCATGTACTACACAGTATGGAGCATATTTCAACACAACCATAACTAAATCATAGGGGAAAACCTCATGAATCCAAAGAAAATTTACATAGCCCCATCCCCATCGTATATATCTTTCATATAGATCAATGTATCATGCCTACCTCTCTTTTCTGTATCATATTTAATATTGTCCTTTACACCCTACCATTGAAGATGATCCAAAATACTTGCCAGGCCAACTCAGGGAAGTTTCATCTGGGTTTCGAGTCACTACCTTTGCTTCGGAAAGTTGAGAGTGAAAAAAATGATTTGGGAGCTGCACAAAATTGAAATTTATGTGTAACTATAATGTTGTGTGAAAGATACTAAATCAGTAGCAAATAAAAGGATATCATTCTTGATATTAATGAAAAGAAACCCAAAGCATATGTATGAACCCAAAGTCTTTATTCATAATAGCATAAGTCAAGATTACATTCTATACAAGACAACAAAAGACAATTCCAAGAGATCGGACCCTTAATCCAGAATGAACTACCAAAATCCAAGAGGACATATTTTGAGGATTACTCACACGGTACACAACTACGTCAACAGCCTGACACATGCAACTATGACAAAGAGGATGAAAAAATGACCTAGAATATATTAGGTTACCCAGGCATCACCTTTTAACGAACTTCCTGATATATGATCATCCCTCAGTTTAAAATGAGTACGAGGTGCAGGGATAGAGCTTTGCATGGATTGGACTGCAAGAATTGAGAATCAAATTATCAATTAAAAACTGATTGTACCTTTATCCATTAAACAAAAATTGAAAATTATAATATGCAGATATAAACATGCATGCCCAAAAAACACTAGCTGAAAATAACAAAAATTATGATCACAAAATTCGAGTCATAATAGCCAGCAGTAAGAATATTACAATTACAAGAATATAACTCCCCTGCAAACCCACCTACACCTCTATAGGTCTGATGATAGGATAAAAACTAATCTTGCCAATTTTTTTACCAAACGCATGCAACCAATTTTTTCTATAAAAAGTCCAATAAAAAGGTGGGATCAGCATATAGAGAGAGACACACACACAAACACATGCAACTATAGATTTGGAGGAATCTATTAAAATTATTGTCTATAAAATACATCTACTCAACTATGACCCACAATGATAAGATAACCCTCAGTCTACATCTGAAAACACTATCATCAAGGAAACGGTCCAGTGTTAAAATGAGAGTTTAAAAGAAATCAGAGTGTAATCGCTTCAAATTCCTGATGAGAAAAGGTATACCGAGCTTTTCCTAGTTCATTCACACATTGATATCTATGAAAGAACTATTTGTCTATATGTGCCATCAAAGATGGAAAGAATGAAAAAGGATCCATTTCCTAATTGCAGGATAGAACAAAACATTGGCAAAAATAAATAAATAAATATATAAATAATAATGGTTTAAACTTAAATCTCTAAGCAGTAACCAAGTATGTTGATCAATAACAAGAAATTCGAGAAAAAAATAGGTTACCCTGTTCATTGAACAGCTCACATTCCTTGAAACTGTCATCAGCAGAAGGATGACCATGAGAGAATCCCATTCTTGATTTCCTCAAATCTTCTGATGACCGATTGGCAGGATCTTGGCTATCTTCGGTATCATCATCTCCTTCAGAAGTTGTAGCAGAGATCCAATCAACCAAACTCTCCGACCCACGAGTTTTTCTCCCAAACTTTAGTAATCGCTTAAAACCTTTTGTGACATCCCTGCGGGGTTGATTTTGGGATGAATTAGTAACAAGATATGGTTTTTGAGCACTTCCCCATTTTTTCCTCATTCGAGCAGCATCATTCTCACCCTGGTTAAGGGAATGAGAATTCCAAGATGCAGGGCTTCCGATTGGAGAATCCATAGAAACATCAATGTCAGAGGACTCATGTGGGTAAGAAAAATGATGAGGCATGTGTGAGTTCCACACAGGACTTTCAACTGGAGAGTCCTGCAGAGATCCTACACCGTTGAAAGCTGATGAAAACACAGTATGCATTTCACCCACTGAAATAGGGTCTACCTGAGCAAGAGACATTGTAGAATCACCAATCTCAGATCCAGAATTACCAGATTTCACAGATTCCTGGCTCAAGCTGACCTTTCCATTATTATCATAAGGACATTCTTCAATAGCCATAGTTTCAATTTCATCATGTTCCTCCATGGCCATATGCAAAGAATCTTCCCCATCAAATTCTAGGTCATCAAATTCTTTATTTTTCCGAGTATCAGATGCCATTGAAACTTTCATCCTCATAGCATTGATTTCAGAACCTGGGCCTATGCTATTACCCTTTTTAAGGAAAGACCTTGGTGACTGATCGGTCTCATCCATATCAAATTCCAATGGAGTCAAAACAATCCCATCTGATTTCAAAGGGGACAAATCCTTAAACTCTGCAGGATTAGCAGAACTTTTCCGTAGAGACTGAGTTCTCCTTGGCTTTTCTTCCTTGATACCTTGCATCTCTTCAATAGTGCTTTTGCTACGGGCATAGCTTCTCACCTGAGAACGGGCCGTTTTACTGACTCCAGAAGAAGGCTTTGTATTTTCTTTTCTTAAATCAGGGAAGTTTGGAACAGACTGAGCAAGAGGATTGTCTCTTCGCCTGCCAGATGAACGTGAGATCGATGCTGCTGTTGTGCGAGGTGTTCCTGAAGACATATGTCTGTTGGGAAAAGTTTTCCTAGTTTGCCTTGACGCACCATAAATCTTTTCTTCTGAGAATTCAGAAAGATCTTCATCCTCTTCATTCTGAAGGGAATCTATCGGATGCTGTTGAAAAATAAGGGAATTAAATTATAACAAAATGGATTTTTGTGTTTTAAATTTCCAAACAAATTTTGCTTCCTAGAAGATTAAAACTTAGCAGCCATCACAAAAACCATAAATAAAACAAGTAATGAATACCTGGTCTCTCTTAACATTTGATTTGAAATATCTAAGTTTCTCAGCACGTTGAGCTTCTAACACTGTATCTTGTCTGTTTATAGACCCTGAAAACTTGGCTTTCATCTCAGCTCTACTCTGTTCAAGACTATCCTGCATGGCCTTCATCCTAGCTTCTTTCTCTGCTCTGTTCAAACTCCATTCTCTCCGAAGTTTAGCATTCCTCTTCTTCATGTACTTTTCATAAAATTTCCCTCTAGAATCATCCCCAAAGTTAAGATCCGAGAAACTTTTCCTTAGAGCATCGCCATAATCGTGACTACCCACCCCCTTAATAAGTGACTTAGCATCAAAGTTTGCCAAATTGCTAGAACTCGCAGCCTGTTCAAGCATAGCGCTTCTGGAAGGCAACTGAGGAGTTAACTCCCCTACTCCAGGACTTCTATACTGTGAGTTAACAGCCTGTTCAACATGTGCATCCACAGGCTCAATTCTCCGGGCAGAACCAGACTGGTCCCCAGGAACCCTCAGTTTATGCTCTGCAAAGAGCTTTTCAAGCTCATCTGCCTTCATTTTCAGCTCATCATGTAACCCCTGATTTCCTTTAGACTGCCTTCCTCTCTGAAATTGGTCTAAAGGCGCAGTTGAGGTTACATTGGCATTATCCTGGCTCTCCAATACTTGTTTACCAGGAAGGTTCAGCTTGCTACTCTCATTTCCACCCCGAATTTCACCCCTTTTACCATGTGACATGCTTATTTGTTCATGACTAGTAGGTTGAGGCTTTTGATACTTCATTTTTGGGACTTGAGAAGCCTCCTCATCCTTTTGCTTCTTGGTAGAGAATGATGAAGGAGAGTCCTCAAAGTCTGCAGAACCAACACCCTCAACACGAACAGAAGCTTCCTTCAATTTGAGTCCAATACCACCTTCAAATTGTGCAGATTGAGATCGAGAATGACCACGGGGACCCCAAACAAGTGACTGGGAAACCACATGATTTTTCATCCCACCAGAAAATTTGACATCAGACATCACATCTCCAGAAGACAACATAGAACCAACCTGGCTTTTTTTTCTTCCAACAACCTCAGAACCATTCAATGTTGCCTCGGAAGCACCCACTTGATCCTTAAACCCACTCTTAGTCCTGTCCTCATCAAAAACAGAAACTTTTGAACTCTCCTGAGAAGACCCTTTATCAGTTCTCACAACCTTGTCTGAATTGTCGTCACGATCCTCCTTATTATCTTCAGAGACAACGTTAGACTTGGTCTCCGAAACAGAGAGGCTTGGGCTTGGGCTTGGGCTTGGGCTTTCAGAATCCTTCTTCTCACCACTGACGTCAATGCTCATGTCACTGGCACCACTCCACCTTCGGAAAACGTCGGAAGAGAGCCTCCGAACCGGTTTGCCGGAGGAATTCTCCTTCTGTTTGTTCTCGAAGAGGTTGATCCGGTCCTGCACGCTCAGCCGCCGCGTCGCCGGAGCCGTTGATGTTGTCGGCGGCGAAGGCGACGGCGACGTCGGGGTTGCCTCCTCTTTGATGTCGTCGTTGGCTTCGTCTTTCTCGTTTACGTCGTTGTTGCTGTTGCTGCTACGTCGTAGCGAAGCGAAGGTGGCAAAGTTCTTGGGCTGTTGCCACGTGGAGGGCTTTGGTGGCTCAGGTACTTGGGCTTGGGCTTCATTAGGCTCGTCATTGTCAATGGACATGTCCGAGCCCACTGATGAACGGAGTTCCCTATCATCGACACGTGGCTTCCATGTGTTTATAAGGTCCGGTCTTCTTTCATACAGTGACATATATTTAGTGCATGCATCACTGCACCAAAAAATTACATATATAAATAAAAATAACAATAATTTATGAAAATTATATTTACAATTTTTTTCACTTACAATTTCTTATAATCAAATTTCAATTATTGATTTCTGTCAATCTGATAATTAGGTCATACTTATTAATTAATTATTAATTTTTAATAAATTATAATCACCAGATTGACGAAAATCAATGATTGAAATTTGATTATAAAGAAAAATATATTGTAAATATAATCTTTCTCTTTTGTATTATAGATGAAAAATATGTAATCCAAATTCAATGATAAATAGACATAGTTGTTACTTCAAGCGATGAGCACCAAATCGATCTGCAAAATGATGAAGTTGAGACACAGTGTGAGGATTGAAACCAGAAGCTGATGCACGAGCACATGCTGTGGTTAAGTCCTGCCTAACTGCACCAAGTCGTACATCAATAGCCCTTAGGAGTTCCTTCCTGTAACAAGAGGTAACAAATAATAAAGAATCAACATTAGCTTCAAATTTCAATATTATGATTATTGTTATGGTGTTAGAATATTAGGACTATTATTTTATTTTTTTTGGAAATTGTTCCAAGAGTATCCCCCAGCCGAAAGCCAAGGACTAATCCCCTCGAGGCGGAGAGATCACGCGATCGTGGGTACAGCCTCTCCCAACTAGGGATGTGCATGGGTCGAACCGAACCGAATTTTTTGAAAAACCAAACCGAATTGGTTTAAATGGTTTGGTTCAAAACTGGTTCGGTTCGGATCGACCCTATTTTGAAATGAAAAAAAATTTAAAATTTAAAAAATAAAGTTATAAAAATCAATTTGGTCAGTTTGAAAACGGTTCGGTTCGGTTCAAAATGGTTCTAAAAATCGATTCTGTTCATGAACTGATTCTTTAAAACCCGGTTCGGTTCATGAATTGGTTTTTAAAAACTGGTTATTTTAAGAGCGGTTCGGTTTGGTTCATGGTTCGGTTCAGTTTTTTGGTTATTTCGCACACTCCTACCCCCGACAAAGCCTTTTCTATACACATGGCCATGGATTGAACCCCTATCAGTCTGCTTAAAGTACCTAGCTATACTAGAATATAGTTAGTATAATAAATAGGTGATTTAGGATAGTGAATTATTTATTATATATTATTGTGACTGCACAGTTTCTTATCTGTGTTAGAATAGTGCTTCTCTGTGTTAGAATAGAGGAAGCACTAACACACTGAAACAATAAGAAAACATGCATGATTGATTGTATGGCACCCCAGATAAAATGAAAAGAGGGTAGAAATGTTACGTGGTTGCATCTGCAGCTGCAATGGCTCCTGTTCCATCCCGACCTGGAGCAAATTGACCATAATACACTCAGCATATTGTTGTTAATCTCTCAAGATTAATTAATCGAAAGAAATTGAGACTTCTGAAGAACCACAACTAAATCAAAATGATCGTGGGTGCCATGCACCCCCAACAAGCTAGATATAATAATGGATAAGTTATATGTATAAATTTTTTGTTTACAAATTACACTAAGTACTAGGGATAGTACATGCTTAAGTAATATGTACTATCCGTAGTATATTAGTGTAATGTGTAAGAATTTGTAAACAAAAAATTTGTAAATATAAATCTGCTCATATAATAATCCAACAAATATCAACTGCATCTAGCATCCATAAAATCTCCAGGGTACAATGCACTGAGATTTTTCCTACATTGTTTTTGTTGTGTTGAAAGAGACAACGAAATAAGAATTTCAATCTTAACCTTTTCTTCGACAAATTCTATAAAATTTGAATTTCTTCTTGTTTAGTTCTTCACTTCCCTGATTTTCTTCACTTTATCATTCTTTTCTCCATATCGAAGTCTAGGTGATTCTTGGTTCAAGCATGAGTTTCATTCTTTGTTTCTATTTCTTTGCAAGGCTTCAGTATTGAATCTTCAACCCATTTTTAAATGCTCTTTAACAATTTAGACAGAGCAATTCTGTAGGTGCAATTATGGGAGCACGTGTAATTATGAATTGAATATGGTTATTTCCCTTTCCTCTCTGGCTACATTAACTTCATTTTCTATCTAATCAGATATAGAACCTCCACCAAGATCAAATACGGTAAAGTACAGATTATCACATAATTAGGCAATAATTAGATAAACTATTACAGACACAAGATAACATTCCAAAAGTGCCCAGATACCTAGAACAAGTAGCTTGCACATAAATATAGCCTGAAGATTTTATCTATGAAAATAGTAATTTCATTTCATGGTGAACTATGTAAAATACATTAATTTGGCCTTACCTTAACCGTAAAATATACTCAAATGGGAGATCAAAGGGAAAGAAATATGAAGATTACTAATGAACTTTGGTATTAATCAAACTTCAGGCTATAGTTATAGGACTAATTGAAAGGAAAACATACCTTGTGAGTCCGTACGCTGATCTCTTGCCCCCTGAAATAAGATATTCCAAATATCAACAAAAAAAGGAAATAAAGTGATTGCATTTTTCAGTTGTTCGCACCAATCTTCTGAGCTTGATTACAGGTTTGTTATTACCTGAGAATATATTTTTCGTGCTGCTTCCAATTGGGACATCTCTGCATCAAAGGTATTGACTATTTCTAAAACCTCCGGCGTGCTAACAAACCTCACAAACCTGTAAGCACCAATGCCAATCAACTCAAAAGAAATCCAGAAGGCTCAGTGCATAGAAAGGCAGCAAATCCAATAAAAATTAAATAAAATTCCCATATCATTGCTTTCACCTCTCAAATGTTCCTTTTGTAAACCACGTCTCAGCATTTTTATGTGCATCAATTTCTAGCTTAATTGACTGAACAGCTAGCGCAACTTGCTCTTCTGCAACCTTTAAATGGGTCAAGAATGGCTTTACTAATCCTGATGCTAGTTTCTCAGTGTTTCCATCACTTGAAACAAGCAACTCACATCTGCCAATTTAATAGAAAGAAAAATAAGGAAACATAATTTACAAACTCTAATCAGAAGAAAAGCATATCACAGTTAAAAAATCCCAAGGAATGTTATGCACACCTTGAACGCTTTGGAGACAATTGGAATACAGCATAGTCAAGAAGTGTGTCAGACTTCATTTTTGTCTATTAAAGGTAACACTATATCACTCTTCGGACCAATTCACGTAAGCAGATGCATACTTCACCATCATTTTCATTTGGCACCAATCATAATCAGCAAAACTGCACACAAGAAATTCCTAAGTCAGAATGTAGATTCTATACAAACAGAAGAAGGGAAAAAAAAAAATTTGCTTAATTGTGTATTCAGTGGATTATTTCCAAATTGGCATTACTTTACAAATCTACATTTTTAACTAAGTTGAAAATTGAATAAAGTTAAATGACTACCCAGATGCACATAAGGAAAATCCCACTTGTTTCAATTCCTAACAGAGGCATACCATAGATCCCAACCAAGAACCCAAAATTCAAGCTTTTACAGAAAAATAGAAACCCAAATTTGCCACAAAGAAAATTATACGAAATAGATCTGATTCAGCAAATGACCGAACTTGACTCAAGTTGCATAGATACCACACAAACCCAAAATCCAATACTAAACAAGCTAAACTCAGAAACTTGTAACAACAAAAAAAAAAACAAAGATCAGATAAAATAAATAAATAAAACAGAGTTTCATGAAGCATTATCATGGTTATAAACAAACAAATATGCATGAACAAAAAAAAAACAAAAAAAAAAAAACCCTAAACACTTACATTGAAAACTGGGAGTGGAAATGTGGGACGATCGTGGAATTGAATGCAAAGGGCAGATATGAAGTTCTAAGATCTTCGATTGCGTGACCCGATCCTCCAATTTGGAGATCAAAAGCGCACCAGCATTTTGCTCCTTTGTCTTTTATGTTCTTCTTTCTCTTCTTCTTCTTCTTCCTTTTTGTGTCTCACTGTGGAAGAGATGAGGCTCTTTCTTTTTCTTTCACAATTTTTTTTTTTTTAAAATTTTAAGTTTTACGAAAACCCCACAATGAAAAGGATGGTTTTTGCTTTACTCATCCTTCATTTCAAAATCTCTTCCTACCTTCTCTCTCTACACTCTGTCTCTCAGTAGAGAGAGAGAGAGAGAATAAAAATTTGCCACTGTCACACACACTTGCAATTTTGTAAAATGTTAACGTAGTAATTAGCAACTAACTAGGATTCAAATTAAAAAAGACAAGAAGCAAAACTGTGCTGTGAATAGTGAAGAGAAGTAGAATGTTTTTTATTGTTATTGACTGTGGCAAACTTCATTTTGACTGAAACATTTACTAGGAAGGATTATCCGAGGTTAGTTAATTTCGTGTTCAAATTATAGTGGTGGTTAAATCAAATCATCTTCTCTCTCTCTAGCTTTGGGATAATTGGTCAACATTTGACATAAACCAGGTTGCATTTCCCATATTTTTGTCATAGACAATCCTACCAATAATCATTTTCATTTTCATGACATAATGTATTTCATTATCACTCTTCAATTACTAATTATTATTTGCAGTCTAGTCCTTAAAATAGACAAGACTGAGAGGGACAAAATGGACATTTTGACAATTTTATGCAGGATTCATTGTTTCTCATTTTGTAGGAGATAAATTTATCTTCAATACATATACAAATGTGTGTAGAGCTCATTTTTTTTCTATTTCTATCTCTTCTTTCAGATAAGACATATATATTTTTATATATATGTAGGAGATAAAATATTATATATTTTATATATCAGAATAATATTTCTGCAGTTAATACAGATAAATTATCTGCATTTACTTTTAAAATGACATTGTGTTGAGATTGAAAAATTTAAAAATTATAATTATAAAGATTATAATAATTTTGAAATAAATTAAAATTATAACATTGTATTAAACTTCCTAAATATAACTTATTTGGAGTGAATCGCAGCTATAAATATGATTAAGTTGTGGTCAACAGTGTGCACATCGCAGTATTGTATCGCTCAAAAGTGTTTAGATTATGATTCTTTTCGCAGAGAATGACAGTGATACGTTAATTAACTTTATAGCATGTTCGTCGTAGTAACGTATGTTCTCTCTCTCTCTCTCTATTGTATAATTAATCTCTCACCTCGCAAACACTCTTCGAGTTTCCACCAATCAAATCAAATGCTTTTTTCCACCCAAATGATTGTCATTTTCAAATCCATTCTCTCCTCCCCTCTCCAAATCTACTTCTTCTTTCAATTCAATAGTTTTATCATTGATTCAAATAATTACATTTAATTAAAATCATTATTAAAATATGGTTTTCTTCATTTTAAATATTTATAGTTTTAGTATAAATATTTTTTAATTATTTTTTATTTAAGATATTAAATAAGTATTAATTTTTTTTCATTTTTATTATAATTACTTTTTTGTATTCCTATCATGAAATAAAAAAAAAGTTATCAAATGATAATATTTTAAATATTTTACTAAAAACTAACTATATTTTTCTTTAATTAAAACTAGTTAATAACTTTCCTAATTATTTTGTATGCATTAATTAGATGATATTTTAAAACAAATAAAGTATCATTATTAATCTTCACTTTCAGTTATTAATACCGAAAGTAAAGTTAAAAAAATAATCACTGATTCATTAATTTTGTTTTAAAAAACATGCAATAAGAAAAATCTTTCACATCAATAAATGAAAAAGAACTAGGAAATATCCAATAACAAGACAAAGTCCTATTATGAAGGGAAAAACCACGAATTTTATTGTAGAATGACTTATCATAATTTCTGTTGGAGTCTAATAATTTCACATAAATACATTTTGTGTCTTTCCCTTTTATCATAGAATCCTTTGAAATATAAAATGATGGTAGCTTAGTTGGCGCATAAGAGCTAAGCAGGTGGGGATGAGAGCATGTGTTCGAATCTCTCCAATATCTTTTTTAGGAGGGATTTAAAGCCTCGAATCAAATTAGTTGCGAAATAATGAACCGATTGTAATATTTTCAAAAAAAAAAAATATATATATATATAACCCTTCGAAGTACAAAGAGAGAATGCTATTTAAAACCATTTCATGATCGTTGAATACTCAAAACGTGACCTTAAAAGATAAACATGTTAATTATACGTAAAATTTCAGTTTTAATGTTCACCTTCTTCTTATATATATTTCTTTTCAATAAAATTACAATAGAATAATTATTTTAAATTTTTTAGGTTTTTTCTATCACCACTTTACTCTTTAAACAAAAAATAATTCATACGTGGTAATATCACACATATTAAGATACTAATTTGTAATGCTACGTACACTTATATATGTGTAAATTATTAACTCTTCTTGCATTATTCGTGCTACTTATCAAATAAATCATGCACGTAAGTCACCCTTCACACACTAAAATAATGTATATATATAACTAAGAATTTTCATATAAATATTAAAATAAAATATGAGTATATCCATTTAATTATTTCCTAATTTTAAATAATGCTTAAAGTATTTTACATTATTAGTACTTTAGTAGAGAAACAGGACGGCATATGATTTTGAATTTATGTTTAGGAAAGTGAACTTGGGCAGAAGAACCACAATGCCTATATGAAAATGGATTTGAGGGATGCGCGTGCGAGAGACATTTGAGGAACAACAATAAAAGTATAATATTTTATCTTATTAATTTGGTCATTTGATTTTGTTTTTTTGTCGTTTGCCAATAGAATTGCGAACTTTGTCGGCGGTTTAGGCGTTCGTTTGAATTTTAGAAGAATCTTTTTTATTAATTTTAAAACAAATTAATGTTAAAAGAAAAATTTTATGCTTAAGAATAATATTTTCAAAAGTTATTTTAAGAGAATTAATTTTACTTGAATAATAAATTAAAATCACATATAAGTAAAAAAATAATTTATAATTTTTTTAATTATATAAGTCCTACATTCATAATCAATTTTATTTAATAAAAAAATAAAATTTGTCACTGTATTCTGAGTCAAAAAAAAAAAAAAAAAATCACCACAATTGCTGACCAAACATGTTGAAAACTGTGAGATCGGATAGCTTTGAGTTTAAATCAATCATAACTCATAAGTGCTTTAAAAAATCTAAAACAAATAGGCTCAAACTTTTTGTTGTTTATTTCCTAACGAACCTGTCCCCACAATTACAATACAATGCGTGTCATTTTCGTCAGAAATTCAAACCATATATCATTATATCCCAACACTTGCAGGGATACTATAGTAGACGTTATATGTATTAGGACAATTCTACAAAGAGTTAAAAGCCCTTGAACTTTTTCTGTTTGAGTTCATGTGTTATTGTAGAGCTTTATACATTTATTATATCTTATATGAAATTTTATATATCCTTCAAGTGATTCAACAGACAACAAATAGTAATTGAGAACTGAGATTCCTTTTATATATTAATCTTTTAAACGGTGTCGAATATAAACCCCGCACTAATCTTTTTATATATACATGGGCACATTGAATAGTAAGGGTGCGCACATTGACCAAAGATGCATGATTTAACAAAAAAAAAATGTGATGAATGTGCATGTAGTGGAAAAATTTCCCACTTTTAGTATGGGTTGAACTGAATCAAATTTTTTGAAAAACTAATTCAAATTGGTTTAAATTGTTCGGTTCAAAAATGGTTCAATCTGGTTCAAAATCGATTTGGTTCGATTTGGTTCAAAACCGATTTGGTTCGGTTCAGAAGTAGTTCGATTTGGTTGGAAACGATTCGGTTCGGTTCCGAAGTAGTTTGATTTGGTTGGAAACTGTTCGGTTCGGTTCGGAACCGGTTCGGGTCGACTCTATTTTGAAAAGAAAAAAAATTAAAAATTAAAAAAATAAAGTAATAAAAATCAATTTGGTTTGATTCGGAAACATTTCAGTTCTTGCACTGGTTCGGTTCATGAACTGATTCTTTAAAAATCGGCCGTTGGAATTCGAACTTGAGCTCCTGAGTAAGCCAAAGAACAACTTACTACTGGGCTGAGTTTGTTTGTTGATTAATATGCACTATTTAATATATATATATATATATATATATATATATATCATTTAATAGAATTATTTAAAAATTGCATCTAGTGGGAATCAAATCTTTGTTGTGAAGATATAAATTGTAGTATTTACCACTGAGCTACATTTGGTTTTTGGTTCACCTGCACCATTTAAAATATTTATTATAAAATTAAGTATAAAATATAAATTTATATACATATGCGGTTCATGCGGTTGAATTAGTGACCCACTGACCCGGTACCCCGATCAGGTCGATGACCGATCCGGATTTAATAACATGGGTGAGGGAAAAATTTAAGGAGAAAGAAGATTAAGGACGTGATTGAGATGTTGGGAGAGAGACATTAACTATTTTTCTTTTCGTTCATTCTGAAATCCATTGGGTTCTTATAAATTGTATAAGATTATGACAATGCATAATTTAAATTAAGGGTTTTATTAGTGTTATGTAACATAATGTAAGTGTTGTTTCCAACTCTCACATCAAATGGGAGAGAGAAAGTGGAATGATGAAAGAGAAAGAAAAACATGTAGACCCCACCTCTTTAATGTGTGTGTAGGAAAGTGAAGTTATATTATGTTAAATGATAAACATAAAACCCTTAAATTAATAAAGATGAAATAAATGCAAATTTTAAATTAACGAAATTAAGATAAGGGAATAATAGTGAAGTGAGCGTATGACTTTCCTAACCTGAGCCTTATGGCTAACGGTGTTTGTGATTTCATGTTAAGGTTTTTAACATACACACAACTGTGGCCTTATTCGACAAAGTTGGACCATGATTACCTATCTGGGCAAAAGAAACAACTAGTGACCAAATAATGGTAGCTCAGTTAGCATATGAAAGTTAAGCAGGCGGAGGTGAGAGCATATGTTTAATACTCTTCAGTATCATCTTTAAAAGGAGTTTAAAGTCTTAATTATGTATCTGTACCGAACAAAATTGTTTCCCATGAAAAATACATATGGTTTATGCAAAAAAGAAAAAGGAAAAGAAACAAGCACTGTTCAGGCTAGGCTAATGCTTGATTAAGGGGGAAGCAAAACCTTGGGTTAATGTAACAGTATTGGCACTAACAGGAGTACTTTATTGGGATACTTTGAACTGTGAAGTATGAGCTCTACACTCACACTATCCTAGTGGACTTATTATTGGCTTACACATGGTAAGTTGGTAAGCTGGGGATCCTGCGCACACAGGGTATTGAAAGTTGAAATTCATCATTGAAAGAGATTTGAAGGTTCCTCTGCAACTTTGTAAAAGATGGAATGAATCTAAAAGGTAAGAAGTTGGGATTGAGGGGGAAATAAAAATGAAAAATAATAGCTTTAATGGAATAAGAATTTCCTAATTAAATAAAGAGAAGTACTGGGTGATGGTGGTCCGGAAACACTAAAAATTCTCTCCTAAAATAGGGACACTGTGAAGTAAAGCTCTGGCTAGCTAGTACAGATGCCTGTGTTATGTTCTGCAAAAAGCCGCTGAAGGCCCATGTAGCTTCGAGAGACATGCTTTTCCTGGTCATATGAATCAACGCCAGAATCCAATGCTTTTTAGCTACGAGCTTTCGTGATTCCGTCAATTAAACCATAAATATGTGATCAAGTGGAGTCGTTTGAGTATCTTTTTATATCTTTCTAGGTTCGCACTGCTGAGTAAAGCACAGAATGATGCTCTATAAAAACAACTACTTTATGTATTGAAGACCTTTGGTCCCATCACAGTATACGTAATACAGGGGCATAATTCATTCATTTTATTTTATTTTTGAGTAAACTCAAGCCCGTGGGATGAGACTAATTTTTTCGTGGCTTGGAGCGAGAAGATTTTCACCACTAATCCTAAAGTACCTCTCCTAAGAATCGAATTCATGATTTCATCAGTCACCGGAGCCCAACCCTTGAGCTGCAATCTGTTTACTAACTGAGCTACATCTTGGAGTTATAATTTATTCATTTAACTCACTTATTTGCAGAGCTTTTTTTTTTTTTTTTGAACAAACACGTAGAAATAAAAACCCTACTCAGGGATTAACCTAGGAGTAGCAACTCCCCTAAAGTCCCTTGCTAATAAGTCTAGACACCCCTGCGGGGGAGAATAAAAAAACTGAGTTTCCCTGTCATTAACTGAAACATGAGCAGCCAACCAATCTGCAACTGTTTTTCCCTCACTATGGATGTGAGTAATTCTAACCTCCCAATCCCTGTTCCTCAAATCCTGGATTCTTCTAATGATATTGGCAAAGCCCTGCTGGTGATCCTGATAAGAATTGACAAATCCAATGGCAACAGAAGAGTCTCCTTCAAGCCAAACTTATTTGCAGAACTGATTTATACAATTTCGATTTTCAACATACCTCGAACATTCAAGCTTTCCCTACATATCAGCAGTTATGATTAAATAAAACATACTGCGGCTCAAAATAGCAATCAACTGATATGATTGACAGCATCCATAAAATTCCAAAAGTTGAAATCACGCATAGTGTAAGAGACAAAACCAATCTTAACATTACCATGAGAATTTAAGCTTTCAAGAGAGTTATTCATTAACACCTGCCAAATTGAATTTTTTTGTTAATGTTCCAAAATTAGCCCAACATAATGTGCTAGGTAATCTCTCTATGCTGTGTGGAAATTAAAAGTCAAGTCATCATGTCTGTGCAGATCACTTCAATCTACAACTACAGACGGACCATATATTCTTTAGAAGCTTGTGCTAGCTTTTGCTTTTCGCTTACAAAATGGGACTATTTTCTTCTACATAGGAGAGCAATATCTGTTCTGCACTCATTTGACCAAACCACCTTCTATGGGATGCAATGTTTCAAAGGAATGCCACTTCAGATGATAATCAATTAACATACTGCTGAATAACACTGCATTCCTAAATCCAGGTAAAAGTTCAAGAAGAGAATACAATGCTAAATTGCTATACATAGGTTGCATATCCAATATGTACAATGTATCCAAGTAGAGCTATCAATGATGATATGATCAGGATACTGATAATTTAGAATGGGGTTACACATGACAAGTGATACATCTGCTGCAATGATATTAAATTATTTAACACATGCTCTTTTGTTTTTGTTTTTCTTTTGTGGGGTGGAGAGCATTCCCACTAAGTTACCTGTAAAAATTAAGGGATAATAACTAAACACATACACAGAGTCTTCGCAGAAAGGCTAATGGAATTGGAATCTAACCTTAACCTAGTTATCACTAACTCACTCACTCACTGTCACTATTATTGTTATGTTTGTTGTTGTTGTTGCTGCTATGGTGATTGCTTGAGTTGCCACCTTTTCTCCCAAGCTTGAGCTGAGAAATCTCCAACTGTGTCTTCATGAAAAACTGCATTCTCTGCAACTCCAAGTCCTTGGCAAACTTCATCCTCTGCTTCTCCATCTCCACCACCTGCTGCAGCTTCGAGCTCTCTGCTTGCTCGTAAGCCTCACCAAACTTGAGAATCGCCTGAGTCAGTTCCCTCACCGCACTACCCCAACCCTTCCCCTTTCTTACTCCTTCCCTTCCTTTCACTGAATTCGAATTCATCACCCTCGGCCTCTTCCTCTCATAGCTTTCCGGCGGAAAACTGTCGCTAGAAACCGGCGACGACACTTCTCTTTCCGATGAATCGGAATCCACCGTAGGAGCACGCCGCCGGAACTGAATCTTCTGGTTCTTCAACTGAACCTGTTGCTGTTGCTGCGGCGGCGGCGGCTGATGCTTTTGAGGATGATACTGATTCGCGCCGCCGCGAATTCCTACCGGAATCCCTAACGGCACTTTCTGCTGCTGCAAATTGCTGTTCCCGACGCCGCTGGTTCCGGCGACGCCGGGGATCTTGGCGGTAGGGCCGATCAGCTGTTCTAATCTCTCGAAGAACGGCCACTTACTGGTTGCGCCGCCGCCTCCGGCAGCGATCTTCGCCTTTTCCGATTTGTACTTCTTCTTCACCGTGTCGATCCGGTTCTTGCACTGGATGTCGGTCTTCGGCGCCTTCGTGTAGTCCTCCCTGCCGCTCACGATCTCCGCCACCTCCTGCCAGTGCTTCTGCTTCAGATTCCCCCTGCTCAGTTCCAGATACCTCTCTCCCCACGCGTCGATCAGCACCGCCGTCGCGCCTTCGCTCCAGCAATCCTCCCTCCCTCCGCCGCCGTTGTTTCCCCTCGGCTGCTGCTGAATCGGAAGCGCTAATGCCAAGCTGTTCGCCGCCGGAGGCGGCTGCGGCGCCGGCGCCGCAACCGTCACCGTTATCCTACCATTCTCCCTCGGGGAAGACGCCGGAGATCCGCTCGCCGGCGACGGGTGTGACTGGATCTCGTCGTCGTCGTCCATGATCTCCTCGCCGCCGATCTACCGTGAAAATTCGCAGAAACGAAGAGAGAGAACGAGAGAAACTAGAGAGAGAGAGAGAGAGAAACAAAACGAAGTTAGGGTTTTTATTTATTTTTATTTTTATTTTTATTTAATTTAATTTTTGCCGGCGAGAATTTATCGACGCCTTTTCTTGCTTTGTTCGTTTTTTTTTTTTTTAACGAAAATTGGGAAAAAATGTTTAGCACCTTTTTTTGGGTTTTGTTTGGATGGAGTGACGGAAGGGGTGAGTTGACGGTGACCGTCGACACGTGGGAGGAAGAAGGTTTACGTGGCAGAATGTGATTGGATTGGAGCTAGCACTCCGTCACCGGCTAGTTGGTAAACCTTCTCTGTTATCACTCTGGTTGGTTCATGATTTTGACGATAAACACTACGTTCGTGTCTCTGAATTACCCATCAAACCTGCCTCCGTGGTCTCCGGCGATATTCCCAATTTACCCTCTTCATTTATTACCTTTTTAAACATATTGTTTTTTTTTTTTGATTAAACAAAAAACCATTTATTACGGGATATGGTGTCTTTTAAAATATTGATAATTGTAGATATTAATTAAGGGAAAAGTATTTGTTATTTTAAATGACATAAAGTTATGTCATTTTAAGAGAGATACAGACACAGAAAATTTGAATTTTAAATTAAAAAAACACCCACTTTCTCTCTCCCATGATTTCCGTTTTTCTGTGTCTATCTCTCTCCTAAAATAACATAACTTATGTCATTTAAAATGACAAACACCAAACCCATTAATTAATTAAATTGAATTTTTTTTTCTTTTTTACCGGAGAGTGAGGGTAAGAAAGGAAAGGGGGAAATTTATTGGTTGTGGCATTGTGGGTGAGGTGTAGCCTGGTTGAAGGAGAGATGACGTAGAAGAACCGGTAACTCATAGGCCACGGGGAGGAACAGCTTTTTTGTGTTGTTTTTGTTTTAATTTTACCTCTTTAGAGGCGTGACGTCAATTGTGTTTCCCGTTAAGTGATTTGTAGGTGTGCCTAAGTATGGTGTGTTATGATGCAATGTTTCCACTCTTTTTTCTATGGATTTATGTGAGGAGGGATATTTTTACTATCAAAATTTTTTACTACCAACTAATTACCTATCTAATCACCATTGGATTAATATTTTCTCTTTTTTGAAAAAGTTTTTAGCGTTCTCTCTTTGATTCAATGGTGATTAGATAGATAGTAAGTTAGTAGTAGAAAATTTTGATAGTAAGAATATCCCCTCTCGGATTCATACATAAGAGAGAGGCTTGGGAAAATGGAATGGCTAAGTTCATAATCTAGTTCTATATGGGTAAGTTTTATTTACATTAAAATTTTCAAACCTATTAAAAGTATTTCGTAACGGGGTAAGCTAATTCTCCTAAATGAGAGAGAGATAGTACAATAGGTTAAGGTGCATGAGAGTTCCGCATCAAAAGATCACCTCTCTTTTTTCTTTCTCTGAGTTGTTATGCATGATTAAGACATTACAACATGATTAAGACATTATAGATTCCTCACTCCCTAGTCCATGCCCCATTGTCTCTCCGTTGTCAATCTACCTCCGGTCCTTTCAACGGTTTGTTCTTCACATACCATCGTCTCCTTGTGGATAAAACTGTATCTCTGAACCCATCGATTTCTGCATCTCAATTGATTATATTGATAAGCAACCATCTGAATTAGCGAAATTTTTTGAGAGGGAGGATATTTACTAATAATTTACTACCAATCTAATCATCATTGGATCAAAAAGAGAGAATGCTAAAAAGTTTATGAAAAGAGAGAAATGTTGATCCAATGGTGATTAAATTGATAGTAAGTTAGTAGTGAAAAATTTTGGTAGTAAAAATATCTCCCTCTAAGAATTATAGCATTTTGGAAGAAAAGTTTGTGAAGATACTCTTTCCTCCTTGTGATCATGCAAGTATATATCAGGCTCAGCTAATAGTTGGATGCTTTGATTACAACTCATCAAGGAAAAAATATGCAGTTCTAAATAAGGAGAGACTTGAAAGATCAATCACTTATAAGATGTTTGTTTCCAATGAGCAACACTCAATCAAGATGTGCCCCCCAATACTTCTAAGTGCATACAATGATTTTTAGGAAAAAAAATTCAAAGAACTTTTTTTTTTGGTCCAATTTCAAAGATTTTTTTTTTTGGGTCCAATTTCAAAGATTTTTCCAATTAAATCACATTTTTAATCATACTTCTAAGTGCGTACAATGATTTTTAGGGAAAAAATTTCAAAGATTTTTTTTTTTTGGGTACAATTTCAAAGATTTTTTAATAAGAAGCCAAACACTATCACAAATGCAACCCCCCATAAATGGAGATGCGGGGTATCAAACCCCGTACCTCTCGCATGCAAAGCGAGCGCTCTACCGTTTGAGCTACATCCCCAATTGTTGGCTATTGTTCGTGACTATACTACAGATAAAATAATTCGTATTTATTCATTTCAATTTCAAAAATATGACCAATAGAACTTGTACAGGACTTTAAAAACTGTATAAAAGACAATTGAATGATATAAATAATGAAATTTATAATGAATTGTGAATAGATAAATTATATTAAGATAGAAGAGACGTAAAAATGTAATGCCATAGAACTCCATTTTATATTTCTTAGGATTATATCTATATCATAATTCAATAATTATGGGATCACCGATCACTTTAGAAAAATAAACAACAATTTTAAGCTCAAAACACGTCTAGAAAATTAGGAAGAAGAGCTATACGTAGACTTAGTTTCAGTAGTTAAGGTGATTGGTGATCAAGGTTGAAATTCTTTATTATTATTCTTGTTATTATTTTATTTCTTTGTGAAGAGGATGAAATTAAAATTATAAAGCAGAACAAAGTCTACGGCTAGCAATGCCCTTGAAGTCTCTATTAACTAGTACATTACATTTATCCGAAGCTTCTCGCAAAATGTGTAACTCCCAATCAGCAAAAGAATAATCCATATATGATAATTTATCTTCAACTAATGTTGTCAAAATTGAGTTTCTACGTAAAAACGAAAGAGGATGGTAGAAACGTAAACCGTAGAAACGACAAGAAACATAAAGTTTCTACTATTTAAGGTCAAGATACAAAATTATATATATATGCATATAAAAAATCACATAAGTCACTACTCAAAATTCAATGAACAACTTCATATTTAAAATATATAAATCTTATAACAATATAAGACATAAGTCCAAAAAAATAAAAAAAAGTTTAACAACTTATACAACCAAGTTCCAAAACATCAAAGAATAAAGTTTAATAACTACTAAATTATATCAATTGATTCAAATCAAATACATCATTTTGCATCAGTTGCGTGTCCTCAATGTTCTCTTCTCTTCCTCTTATAACAAGTTCATTTGCAAAAAAATACAATAGATTGATTAAAAACTCACCTCAGTTTGGTACCCAAACTTTTCACTAGTGGCTTCTCCCTCTTCTTTCTTTGCAATAGTGACCTCGCAAGAGGGATTTTTTTTTCCAAATAACTAGAAGAAGATATTGTGCATTTTGATTTAGGGGAAGTGGAAATAGATTCTTTTTTTAAAAAAGGGTCATGTGTTTTTATCATTTTTACACGAAGTTTTTACCAGTTTTTACTGAGGAGAATTTTTACTTGCGTTTTAACACGTATCACTTTAGTAAAAACATAGAAACGTAAGTTTTTACACTAGCTTTTGACAACAATGTCTGCAACCATATAGCCCTCCCTATAGGTGTGTTCCAACCTAGTATTCCATTGCCGCTACATTAGATCACCAATCCTATTAACTAGAGGAGTTAGGGGTGCTGTCTAGGGGTGTTAATAGGCCAAGTCGGGCCGAGCTTTGATCTTAAAAGGCTAAGCTTATGTTTAAATGTGTCAGTCTAGCCTTGCCTGTTACCTGTCATGAATATAATTATCAGCATGTGGCCTGACTTTTTTACAAAAAATAAAAGTCTGGTTTAACCTGTTAGCTTGTTAAAAAAAATAAGAACAAAAATTTATTCAAACAGAAAATATAATCAACAACACTAATAATTCCATGAAGGTTCATAAATTTAATATATATCCAAACAGCATAATATAGAACAAAATTATTCAAAAAGTCTGTTTAACCAATAAAATGGGGTGAAATGGGTTGAGAAGAGAGAGGAGGATATTATGAGTAGTATAAAAAATATAAAATAAAATAAAAAGTTAGTATACTGGGCCAGCCTGAGAGGCTTTAAGACCGAGCTTTTGAATTTCAGCCTGAGACTTTTTTATTAAACGACTTTTTATACAAGTCCAAGCCTAGTTCTAACAATCAATTTTAAACATGTAAGCTCAAACCTTCACGAGTCGAGCCAAAGACCCCTGGTTTGTTTACCACCCCTAGTGTTGTCCCTCACAACCCTTCAAAATAAGATTGATGGCTACTGGAGAATCCCAATTAATACAAGGTTTCCTTAGTTCGAGATTCCACGCAAGAGTCATGCTATTGAGTAATCTCCACGGTTCCGCTCTGGTGGATGATCCCATCCCAAGGTTTTTGCAAAACCCAATCAGCCACTTGCCAGAATCATCTTTGATCATACCTCCGCAGCTTGATCTCCTACCTCCATCATACTTGAACCATCTACATTAAGCTTACACCATTTTTCGACTGGGAATTTCCAGCTAATGAGTCTCTGCATTTTACCACGTGCTTGAAGACCTTGATTACGCAATATTCTATGAGTTTCATTTGAATGGGAAATAAAGGTTTTCGCTCTTCTTATGGTTGATTGTTGGTTTATGTTCTTCTATTCAAAAATCCAACTATTTCGAGCTCTCCAAATCAACCAGCATATAGTTCCAAAGAGTTTGACCCAGTCATAGCTCTGAAATAGCATTTTCGTCTCCAAATTTTGTTTAAACCAGCTGGTAAAAAAAACTTGGAAGAAGTCAGGTCACCACTGTGTCACTCCAAGAGAGTCCCATAATTACATATTCCAACTACAATCTCTGAGAACATGTAAAATATCTTCCTCTACCTCATTGCATCTTATACACATGCCATTGTTTGAGAGATGCCTTTGAAGTATCTTTATATTAGTCAAAATAAGATTATTGGATGTCATTCAGAGAAACATCTGAATTCTCTTATTCCCTTTCCAAGACCATGCCACGTCCACTGTCGCCAACTGATTCCCCTCTACTTCCTCCATAAGAATCCTATAAGCCTACTTTGTTGAAAAATTTCCATCATTGATGTGGCCCCATATGACAGAATCAGAGCCTTGGTCAATGTTATTATTCTTGTTATTATATATACTAAAGTTGAGCTTTAGAGTAACAATTCACTAGAGTTCAAAATAATTGGAAAACAGAGTATGGATTGTTTTGTCTAATTGACATTTTGTGGATCAATTCTGAAGCTTACAAAGAAGTTCATACATGTGTCATAAGACTCATAACCGTTTTAAACGAGAGAGACAAATATAAAAATAAAATTGTAAGATCACGGTGGGTCATGTATGTCCAATCAGAGATTAGTATGTCTATGTAGGATCAAGATGCTTTCTCTCAAGTATCTATCGATGAAATACCTTAGAAAGTAGAAAATCACTATACACTATAATAGACGGCATAGTCAGGGCGTAGAGTGTATGCGCAGTGACAACTAAAAGAGAGAGTCAAGAAGTGTATGTATACGTAGGCTTTACCTTTTATTTAAGGGGGTAGCAAAACAGCTCATGACCAGCGGGTCGAGCCACACGCGACACGCTAAAATATGTGTTGTGTTGAACCGCGAGTTCAAAAGGGTTGTGTACGGGTTCAAGTTTTTGACACAAATTAGTGTCGTGTTGTGTCACGAATCGAGTATATTTTTATAATTCACATTATAAAATTATATTTGTGTCGTGTTAATTTGTGGGTATGCGTATCAATTTAAGGTTTATTTTTCTTTATTTTTTCTAAAAAAACAAATTATTAATTTTTTCGTGTCGTGTCGACCCACGACCCGTAGCGGGTCGTATCCAGGTTTGAGTTTGTGACCCATAAATGAAAACGTGTCGTGTACGGGTTGAGCGATTTCTTGTTCGTGTCGTGTCGACTCGTTTTGTCTTCCCTATTTATAGAGTTTATATGTTGATAGTGAAATTCTGGATCTCTGGTGGATTTTTTAGGTCCAATGCTTGATCCAGTGATATCGTACTAGGATTAGTATAATTAAAAAAATCTTAATATCCCTCTTAATTGTTTTCCCTTCTCAACCATTCTAGAATGTAAGCCGTAACATCAGGTGCACAACAAAAACTAATGAACACTTAAATAAATAATAGTAGGTATTATCATAATTATTTTGCAACTTTTTATTTTATAACATTTGCTTTATTATAGGCAAAAAAATTAATTTAATGCTTTTTAATAAAAAAATTACACATTTATTACACTTTTTCAAAAAATTACACATATGTTGCACAATGTCACGCCCAAATTGGGCGTCACATGTGACGCCCCATTTCGGCATGACACCCTAATGGGTGACCTAAATAGGGCGTCACATGTGACGCCCAATTTGAGCGTGACACATGCGGCCCTGATGCCCCCTTTGGGCGTGAATGGGTCAAAAAATTCTATATAATCCCTACCACTCTATGCATTCTTCACATCTCTTCTCTACCATCAATTCTTACATCTTACAAACACAATTGTTATCTTTAAATTAATATTTGACTTTTATTTCTTATTTTATTTAAGAATGAGTTCACATTCTAATTCTGTTCGTGTTGTGTTATATTACAATGGTAGGAAGGTAGAAGGTCGACGATGTGTCATGTTTGAAGGTGAAAAAAGTCGACACGTATCAAACGCAACACAATCGTTGGCGAACTGCATCAGAGAATTTGGCAAAATTTAAGTCTTTAAGGTAACCAATGTATCACTCATATCACCACAAGGTTATGGCAATCCGAACAATACATTAGTTTGCAAGTGGTTGACGATGAAGACGTGGAGATGATAATGGAAGAATTTTTCAACTAGTCAATGAAAGATTTTATGGAGTTGTATGTCGACATCGCCGCATCGGAGGATGTTCCAGTACCGGTGAAGTCAGTTGCTTTAAATTCTCCTCGTCTTCCTCCAACATCTGTCGCTCATGCTTCTCCAGTTGGTAACATTTCTGAGGGAGATGAAAATGATCCGACTTGGGAAATGCATGACGAAGACGACGACGATGATGATGAAAATATCGCAATGGAAGAACGTCTTCTGGCGGAGGATGCTAGTGCTTCAGAAGGAGATGAAGGTGGTGATATGGGCGCGTCACAAATCCCAGTATACCATGAACCAGTGGTCGCGCAACTCCCGCAACTGCATGACGTTGCATCCTCAAATTAGGTAATCATGATGAGGTTAATTTATGTAATTTATATAATTTATAAATTTATATAATCATGATCACCCTCTGCATCAGTCCACCGGGTATATAAACGATCCAAGAATGAGATGCGGAGGTCACCTGATCCACGAAACTCACTGGCCAGTGGCTCCGCACCAAAAACGGCAGCACAAACAGCAGGCCAATCCTCGTTTGTAGATCTGGTAACGACAAGGTCGTCAGTAGGTAATCCAAGTATGCCGGCCACATCCTGCAAGGTGATCGTCATCTCACCCTGGTTCATGTGGAAAGTATGTGTCTCTGGTCTCCATCGCTCGACCAGAGCACTAATCAATGGGGCATCAATCTGAGATAAGTTATACAATTATCACATGTTAACGAATCGTATTACATAATCACATAAATACATAAGTCGAAAATTGCATACCTTGATATGCGCATGCGTGCAACATGTATAAATCCAGCTTGTGTGAGGTAGTCAACGACAACCTCTAGAATATTGCCGGTAGGTGGCCCCCCTTGTGGTTTCCCACACTTGGTTTTCAACTTTCGCACATGTTCTGTATTCCACACTCGCTGTGAAATATGGGCACTCTGCGTCATTTTACGAAGGACCCCCCTTTTATACGACCCAGGGATGATGTACATGGTAGGATCGGTAGGCTCTCGATCCGATGCAGATCCCGCAGATGATGATGAATCACACATGAGAACAAACTATATAATATAAAACAACATTGCAATTAATCACATATAACAGCAAATTTTACGTACAAATTAATTAAGCTATACCCTAATTTATTACCCAAAAATATTAAGCATAAATGCTACGTATTTACTTCAATCGTAATTAATGACATAATATTAATACGTTGTACACTAATTTATTTGTAACTAAATAAGACGGAAACCACGGACACTAATTAAATCGTAATGACATAATATTTAACCCAGAGTCACTAATAATTTCATAATTGTATACTAATAATAACACCTAAGTCTTTAAAAAGTTCTCAATGCACTACCGCATTCATAACATCATACAAAAATTACGAAGTCATTATCACTATTTTCTAAGTCACTAATATACGCTAAACCTTAATGCATAATGAAATAATAATACTAAGTCATTACAACATCCATAGCATGGTAAAAAATTCTTAAGTCACTATTATTATTTTCTAAGTCTCTAATATACGATAAATACTAACATATTTGTAACGTAGCACTGTAATTTAAACGTATATATAGCAGGTATTAGAAACTTACCTAAGTTGGCAGAGCTTCGTACGAAAATTTCACCGTTGACTTGAGAGCACAATTTGGTTAGAGAGAGGTTAGAGTGAGAGTGAAATAGTAAAAATAGAAAAATGAGGATTTTTATAGGGCTGGTGGGTGACGCCCCTTTTGGGCGTCACATGTCACGCCTGGTTTGGGCATGACCCACCAGGACGTGACGCCCCTTTTGGGCGTGATATGTGACGCCCAGTAGGGACATGACATTGTACAATAAATGTGTAATTTTTTGAAAAAATGTAATAATGCGTAATTTTTTTATTAAAAAACATTAAATTAATTTTTTTGCCGTTTATTATATGAATAAAAAAACATAGAGAGTCCAAAAAGAACTCTTTTATTATTTAATTTAGTTATACAAAGCCGTATAATCTGGCACATTTTCTGGTGCAATTCGCCCAGAATGTTCATGAACCATTTATTCTGAATGACTCATGAACCAAAAAAAAAAAAAAGACTCATAAGGAACGTTTCTTTGTAAAAGTTTATAATCTGAATCACTATTATATAACTCATAAGCTTTTAGCTGTTGAAGCTAAATCACAATTATATAATCTGAATGACATGAACCATTTAACATCTGCATTAGAATATAGCCTAAAAGTTTTTTCATCTAAAAGCAATGTTCTTCTGCAGCTACATTTGTCTAGTTTAATTATTCTTCCCCAAATAAGGTATGGCTTCTGTTCTATTCACTTCGTCAACTTCTATGGCCACCCTCTCCTTCAATTCTGGCGTCAGAACAACAACAACTCGCCAAATGAAGAACCTATTATGCAGGGAAGCTCTATGTTTGGGGGGCTAAGACTTGTGAATAAAATCCAGTTGAAAAGGGCAACACCATCATCTTTTTCACTCGCTGGTGGCATTGAAACTAAAATATCTTGCTCAATTGAAATAATTTCACACATTTTCTCATAATAAATATTTCTATCTTAGGTCTCTATTGGCTTATTTAATGTGTTGCATCTACTGGCTGAAGGCTCAACCAAAAACTTTGCAAATTGTCCAAACTCCAAAGCACCATTGCAAAGCAACTTTCCATTGATGAAGCCACATTGACTCCCCAAACTAAATTTGCAGATTTGGGTGCTTATTCTCTAGACACTGTGAGGCCTCAAATATTAAACAGTACCTTTTAGTTGTATGATAGAAAATAAGTATTAACCAATGCAACAGGTGCATTGTCAAATGTTTTGGTATGTTCATATATATTTGAACAGGTTGAAATCATGATGGCTTTGGAAGAAGATGCTGCTGATCTGATTGAGAAGGTGAAGATTGCAGTCACACCATAGCTTTCTTTAGTTACTGTCCTTGATATTTTGACAAAGTTGATCATAGAAAGATTAATTTAATTTCTAAGTGTTTGTTATCTCCACATTCTCTTCAAAAGTGATTTTTCTTTGCATTCTTCAAATAATTAGTCTTTTGAGTTGATTGCTTGAGATCATAACTTTTCATGTAACGATTATCAATGACTTAATATTTAATACACACTCAACCTTGGGAGTATGTATATATGAAGATCTTTCAATGAAATTTCTCATAAAATGAGCATTACTTAGGCCCCAAATGGAAGTATAAAATATGGAAGAATAGCCTTGAATACAAACTAATTGTATTGAAACATCAAACATTAAGCTACAGAGGTCTAACAAAAGCAGAAACATAATAACTTAAAAAGCTTCATTGAGTTCTAGCGAAAGAGATTTCAGAGTACAGAACCGATATTTACAACAGCCAAAAACTCGGAAAAGGGAAAAACAAAAACCGTATGTTCAAATATACAGAAGGTGGCTTTCTTCTCCTTTACATCCTCAGAATCCCATTAAGCATGTGGTGAGTCTGATGCAAAAGACCCTGCATAATCTGAGCCGTTTTATTTGTAGCTTACTCATACATAATATATATATATATATATATTAATAAGAAGAAGAAGATATGTCATGCAAGATGATATATGATTCCCTTTGGAAATTGGAATCTTTGTTGTCATATGTACAGAAAACGTAGTCCCTCTGCCTCTGCCTAACGATAATCAAAGCAAAACATGTAACTTCCTCTCTCAACAACGATCCAAAGCACTCATAATCACCCTGCAAACCATTAAAAAAAGTTGACACCAAAAAAAATAAAAAAATTTAAAAAAGTGAATGAAATTGCAAAGGGCATATGTGTCATTTCACGAAGTAGAAATAAAAAACAAAAACAAAAATTAGAGAACCAGTCTATACTCAGACTTCTATGCTCGCCGCTCGCCGCCGCACCCTCTGACGATTTTCTCCTCGTGAATTTCTTGAAATCCCCACCTGGCGTCTCCGCTACAAAAAAAAAAAAAATTAAAAAGATTATTTTGTTAAGAAATTAAGTCACAAAACTTTAATTAAAAAAACTATGGCATAATATTGTAACTATCATATTAAAAAAAAAAAAATTAAGAGTTTAAGAAATTACACTAATTGTATATTGATTTAGCCCAATTGAAGAAATGTAACAATTTTTGTTAGACTCAAATTCAACTAAAAGTTGAACTTTTAACATTTTATTTTGTTAAACTCAATCCAAAAATCTGACCAATTCTCATAACTATGGATTTGTATTTTTATAGTAATTGAAGAAATGAAAAAAAAAAAAAAAAAACAGAGAAACAGAGAGTATAAGAGCATGAGGCTTGCTATTAAGGAAAGAAAAAAGAAAAAGAAAAAAACTTTAGAAAAGTTCATAAAAAGAATAAGTAACAAAAAGTATTCAGAATAACACGATAATATTAAATTGAGTTAAAATGAACGTTGGAAGGTTCTGTTTCCTTCTTCTTGTTTTTTTTGTTTATTTTCATGTCATGCAAACATAGTACAAACAGGAAGAAACGAAAACATCTGAGTATTACAAGCAACAACGAAGAGAGAGAGAGAGAGAGAGAGAGAGAGAGAGAGGTGTTACGGGTTAAAGGGGAGCGAGGGGTGATAGGCACAGAAGGAGAGACAGGATCCGAGGTTGTGGTTCTGAAATTGGAGTGGGTCCGAACAATGGTGATGCTGCGACTGATGGGTACATCCTTCCCCACCGGCGCCACCTGTGACCGGTTGGTTGTGGTGGAGAAGGAGTTGTACTTGCGGAGTTTGCCCAAGCCCGTTTCCGGTGTGGGCCCGGCCAACGTTTCGTCCCATAGCTTGTGAAGAAAACCCATCAAATATATATATGTGTTCTAGCAATTTACAACACAAAGTTCAAAGATTGAGGGAACGAAACGACAGAGAGAAGAAGAACAGGTTAAGGTGGAAACAAAATCTGTTTTTTATTTTTTATTTTTTATTTTTTTATGTGTGTTTGGTGAGAGTGTGAGGGGGTCTTTATAGAGAGAAGATGAAGATCAGGCTGATGACGTGATAAGGTTAATGGAATTATTGACGGCTAAGTTAGTTTGTAAACTTAGCTCCGACTAATGTGGCTTTGTTATCAGCCATCAAATTGATACCCCCTTTTGCTATAATTTAACTTCTTCTATATTGACTCCTCCTAATTTTGCACAATTTTCTTTTGCAAATCTAGTAGCCGAAATTAGTATTTTTGTAATTTGTAGTATGACTTGCTAATTTGTTATCTTTCTTTATTGAACATGTGGCTTGTAATCGAGAAATATAAAATTATTAACTAAATCTCACCAACCGACTTCTTTAAAAAATTAAAATAATTTTTTATATGATAAAAAAGTGTTGTGAATGACTTTGATTTTTTTGTATAGGTGACAATATGTGTTGAGTCTGGCGGGTCAACCCGTCAACCCGTCAAAACGGGACAGATTGTGTTGAAGTTTTCAATTCACCAACCCACTTAAACCGTCCCGCCTAAAAGTGGATCAAAATAAATTCAATCCATCGCGGGACAGTTGACCCGTTGGGTTATAATTTCTTTTTTTATAATTAAATAGTATTTCATTTGTCATTAAATTTTTGTAATATCCAAATTTTTTTTATCTTAGTACTTCCTAGAAAAAATAAAGAATAACAATTTTATTTATAACAAATGTTACCTATATTTGAAAACAAATAAGTTTTTAACGAATATTTAACTGAATATTAGTATACATTTAAAATTGAGATCGGAAAAATTAAAAGAAGTGTAAAATAATATTACAAAAATTCAAAAACTACTTTTTTTTTTAAAATTTTAATTAATTTTTTTTAATTGACGGGTTGGTGGGTTGACCGGCCAACCTAATATAAAATGGGATAGATTCATTTTTTCAGCCCACATCTAATGTCGGGCCAACCCGTCCCACCCTATTTTTGGCAGATCGGGGCGGATTATCTCAAATTGTCACCCCTAATTATTAGTGTTCTTATATTAATAAAAATAATTAGATATTATAAAATTTCTTGATGCAGGTATAATATTATCATCCACTCTTTAAATACCATGGGTTTTAATGAAAACGCATGTTAGAGAAATATAAAATTATTAATATAATATTATCCAACTACTTAATATTTTGGTTATTGAAAGGGTTACATTTATAACTATTTTTGTTTACAACTCTTAAAATTTAATTATATTTCGAGAAATACACTCTCAAATATATATATATATATATATATATATATATATGGGGCAAGATATTCTTACAGCAGTGTAAGAGTTAGAAGTCTTACACTCAATCTTGACCATTGATCCACTTGTATCCAATGACTCACATTACTAAAAAATTAAAGCCCTTAGATATAATTGGGATCAACGGACAAGATTGAGAGTGTAACTTACACTGGTGTAAAATGATCCTGACCCTATATATATAGGTACTTCAACTGCCAAGTATTCTTTAGAATATAGTTAAAGTAATAAAAGTTGTAAATAAAAAAAAAATTGCTAACATAACCTAACCCTTTAATTAGTAAAGTTTTTAATAAAACTATTGGGACTAGTAGCATATAAAAATTTCCATCACTCGAGAAGAGAAAGGATGTAATATAGTGAATAATTAGTGAGCCGAAAAAGAGAACCAAGCCAGCCGCTAATAAGATCCAAAAACATGGGAAGGAAGTAAAAAGGACACCAAGTCAAAGTAGAAAAAACTGGGCCCCAATTCATTTTTACTCACCACTTACAAGTTGCAACTACACATCAATTGGATAAGTTCCCACGAAATCTTGTATGATTATCATAGTAGTTTAATATTATATACTGAATTTCTGAATTTTTTACTCACCATTTTCAAGTTACAACTACACGTCAACCGGATAAGCTCCCATTAAATTTGGGATGATTATTGTATATAGTAATTTAATATTAATATTATGTATTTAATTTCTAAATTACAAGTTGTAGTTTGTTAATTTTTTTAATTATTAGTGAAATGTTTCAAGATATGTGACAAATTAAATCATTAAGACTTTTACTCCCTTAATTAGTGTAAAGAGGGAAAACAACCGAACTAGTTTTCACATCTCAATACATTACGACCAACTTATAAAGATCCATTAAGGAGTCACATTTCTATTTTCTCATAATGGGCATATGAACTTTACTATAGAAAATCACTTTCTCGTTGCACACAATGTACACATAGTGGTGTGCATTCTCACTCACACTAATGAAGCAACAACGGGCAAAACAATTTAACTCCCCTCTCTTTTATTATTAGAGAATATTTTTCACTTATATATATATATATATATATATATATATATATATATATATAGAGGTAGGATCTTTTGATATCGGTGTCAAATTTGAAGTTTGACACCTTATCTGAGAGCCGTTAGATCAAAAAAGATCAACGACTCTGATTTGTAAGCATGTGATACCATTAATCTTTTTTGATCTAACGGCTCTCAGATGAGGTGTCAAATTTTAAATTTGACACCGGTGTCAAAGGATCCTATCTCATATATATATATATATATCTCCACCTGAAGATATATCTTGCACCCATCACCTTTATAAATTATTACTCTGTCAAATTCTAGAGTCACCATGCCCTTTTACATTCTCTCTCTCAGCCACACATCAGATAACACTTATGGTGACTCTCCTAATTAAAGCTCTGTACCACCACTTTCTTGAATACCTATATAAGAAGATATTACATCCCTTTAGAGACACAGACTTAACTCTAACTCCACATTAGCTCACAAACTCTCTTTATGTAGGAACAAAATTTTAGTACTCTCATCCCATGTGCACCTTGTAACATCCCTAAACGAGCCGGTTCAATTAACATATATATGATACAAACAGAAACAGCGGAAGACTTAACTTACGAAAATATGAGCTAACTTTTTCTTTTTCTTTAATCCTTTTTCACATGACATATCACATTGCATACTTCTTCTTTGACGGAGACGAAAATCGAACAGAGCAACCTCTGTAAATCGGACAACTGGGGATTTGCAAATCCCACTCTCAAGGTACCCTGATATAAAATTTATACAATATATACTTTCAGACATACCAGATATCCATATAGGATCATATACCCATCCATGGGCGCATGCATAACTTGACTCTGAGTCACTATGTCTAACATCATGCAATCCAACACATAAACATAAACTGAATACTACATCATCATATCAACATGCCTGAATACTCAAATGTACATGCATCCAACTGAAAGACATGTACAAAATATATACAGGCCATATACAAAATAAAGGATCAGACATCATGATCACCAAATGAATAGAACACTATACAACAGTATATGTTCTCCAAAAATAACATCTATAATAAAGAGTAGCCTCCGGCTACCCAGAACTCCATATTCTCATACTAGTACCTCTAGCCACGGGTGGTGTCCTTATCCCATGAGGGCTCTTCAATTAACTGTGTTCCTGAAATCATATCCCCAAACGGGGTTAGAGACGAATCTCAAGTAAGCTCCAGGTTTATAGAGAACTCTTTATACCCTGGGCTCACTTCCTGCATGACAGTCAGATGCATAATATACAAAACATCATATATCATAATATATTGAACATATCTCGTATAACATATCATATAATCAAATATCATAACTAAAAAAAGCATATACACAAATCTTATCAGGGACGTACACAGTCATTCCCAAGGGATGACCCCAAGCGGAAATCAACGCACGTAACAAATATCATATACAAAACCATCACAATAATCACATCAGGACAAAGCATATCATATCAGAGATGTACGTAGTCATTTCCAAGGGATGACCCCAAGTAGAAATCAACATACATGTTCCCAAGGGAGGACCTCAAGCGAAACCAAAAACATATCAGAGATGTACACTATCAATCCTGAGGGATGACCCCAAGCAGACATCAGTGCACATAGGATCAATGGCCAGAGATCATCACATAACAGAGTGTACACAATCAATCCCAAGGGAAGACCCTAAGCGGAAATCAGTGCACATATTCCCAAGGGAGAACCCCAAACGGAACTCAACATATAACAGATATATACACAGTCAGACCCAAGGGAGGACCCCAAGCGGACATCAGTGCATAAACAAATCAATGTCCAAAAATCATTACAGAAATCATATCGAAACATATCAAAGTAAACACATCAAAAGATATCAAAGTAAACACATCAAAATATATCGAATCAAACACATCAAAACATATCAAATTAAACACATCAAAACATATCATATCACATCATTATATAGCTCTATATGAATGCATCTATATCATATATCTCATATATATCATGCAACCTGACCACAGTCTGTATACTATGGCGGAACACAAAGTAGGAGCGCACCCCATAAACATAGAGCTTACCTCTTGGAGCTTTACAATTTGCTCACTTGTAACACAAGTTACCTATTTAGCTCCAAAGGAATCCAAACACGCTCAGTCCCTAAGCAACCTAGAGAAAGAATCCAAAACAAAACTCAATAAAATAATATAATGTCATGTAAATATACAAGAAACATACTTTAGTGTTTATTTTCTTTTTACTTAATCATATTAAGTCATGAGTGAGTGGTTCTTTGTTCAACAAATTCCCACAAAATTTCACATATTCACTTAGTCTTAGGATAGTCCCAAAAGGCATTTAAAACACTCATTACTCCTCTTAGCACCTAAAAGCCTATTTTTCCCAATTTAAGGCAGAGTGCCCTTTACAAAGGAGCTATAAGATTTCTCTTCAAAATCATACTAAAGCCATGCATTAGAAACTAAACACATCACCAAAATAATTTTTAACATAATCAACCCGCACATAACCCTATAGGCCAAATTCAAAGAGAAGGGTTTTCCAAAAGGATTATCTTTTATACTTCCAATTTAATCACTCAATTCACACTTCCAAATACATATAATCCTCCACAAACCAAGCAATTAAATTTTTGCACATACACCCCTACCATCACTACATGG